CACTGCCCGCACCTCCACGGAGTAGACATCGCTTCCGCGGTGTGGCTGGCAAGCGGCTCCCTTAAAGGGGCCGGTCGGCGAAAAAACTTGTAGATCTGTCCAGGTAGCACCGAGTCCGAGTGGTGGGCCTCCAGAAGTCGCAACGCACGATTGCAAGCTCTGTTCCACACAACTTGACCACCAAGTACTCCCCTGAGCAAAGTCCGCGCTCTCGTTCTCGCCCTTCTCCTGCGGCGGTGAGAGGCACTCTCTGTAACCCGAAAAACCGTTGTCCCGGGCTGTGGTAGTAGCACAGGCGCTCGCTGCAGCTGTGCTTACCAGAAAAATACACCAAAACCTGCACGCTGCAGTGCTAAGGCGCATGCACTGAAACCAAATAACCAAATATTGGCTGATTGAACAGCAGCAATGAATGGCTAAAGGTCAGCGGTGGATGACGTGGGCTCCTCCAAATGCCGAAGCTCGCCGGAGGGCCACACTTAGGGTACTGCGGACTAGCGGACCCAAAGGGAAACTACGCTAGAGCCGAGACGCCTGTTTAAGGTTTAGGGTTTAGGGTTTGGAGTTTAGGGTTTAGGGTTAAACCCCCTCGGTGCAGGCTGCAACGAAGCAACATGAATCAACGAATGCAGCCCGGAAAAGGTTGTCCCTAAGAGCAACATCCCGATGAGACGAGCAACAACTTGTCGCTGCCAACAATGCTATACTGAATTCAGACAGCTGAGCTAGCTGTTTCTAAGGGATCATAGGAACCAACAATTAAAAGAATGTCGCACGACTGCTTATCGGCCTTCTCCTTGACGTAAGAGCCTTGATGGCTGCCAACGGGTAGAAACTCCACATGCCTCACGTCAGAGTCTGGCGAACGCGGGTCGCATCAGGGTAGCTTGCAGATAATATTCATATAATTAAACAAACCATCAACAAATTGTTTTAAATGTTCATTATTATTTATATTTAAATCAGAACTATTCTTCCATATCAAATTCTGCCTCGGGCTGAGGTCCAACTTCCCGCAAAGCAAGCCCTAGGCCGTGCCCCCGACACCCACAGCCTCTCACTCGAGACTTCCTCATGGGAGTTCAAAGTACTTCTGCAACCCCGGAGCAACCCCGAAGGGAACCCGAAGTAACCCGTAGACGAACCCAGTATAACTACTATTACTACCATATTACTACCATCTTACTATCATATTACTACCATATAACTACTATCCGTATAACGGAATTTGAAGACGCTGGACAGTAATGGTGTCCAGGTTTTTCAGGGGAGCTGCAGGCCTAGCTGCTGAGAGTGCCCCCAAACAAACTAAAGGCAACTTCCTCTAATAATAAGAATAATATCATGAAAAAATGTAATACCAATACTGATACTAGTAATATCAATAGCAAAACTATTTCTAATAGTAATATTACTTGCTAGTAATACTAAGGAAATTTTGTCAAGACTACCAGCTGAACTTCGCCTGAAGTCTCCAGAAGAAAGAAACCCTCAAAGACCACCACAGGGCTCAAAACACGCAGAGCGGCGCCCCCGGCCAGGAATCTGGCAAACAGGTTTAGGGCTCAGGGCTTTTGTTTTAAGTGTAACGCACCTTTGACTCCTGCAGGAAGAGCGCACAGGCACTGCTCAGAGTTTAGGGATTTGGGCTTTTGGGTTAGGGTTGGCGAAGGAGACAACACTTGAAGAGCCCCATCTCTCATGAGTGAAGACTGTCATACTGAGGCTACCTACACAGGTATTGGGTGGTATTGGTCTCTCCCTCCGAGTATGCAGCGCAGTGACAAGCAGGTGCCAAAGCTGCAGCTGGTACCCAGATGTCAAGAACAAACATAAACTACATGCCTCTGCGGTGTCTTGTTTTCTGTTTATTGCTTGGCAGGCCTTGCGCTCTTCAGTGTTAGGCTTCTGCTTGCGCAGAGTCGTCTCTTCCACCCGAAAGCGTGCAGCCCAAAACCCCTGCGAACCCAGAACCGGAAAGCCCAACAGCCTCATAACCCGGAAGCCCAAAACCCTAACTCCCAAGCCCCTTAAACCTGAACTCAAAATAACCCAAACCCTGTACAGTCGCACTTACAGGAACCCTGAAACTGGGCTGTTAAGTAACCAGGGAGAAAAAAGTATAAACTTTTAATGCTTCCTTTAAGAAAAAAGAAATAAAGTATGGTACTCCAAAGCCCACTATACAGGCGCTTTGTAAGGCCACCGATGAGGCAGAGCCCGAGCCAGTGATCTGAAGACCAGGACCGCTTCAACACGAAAACTCCCGAACACAATGATGACCATGGTAGTAACAAGCATCATAATGGTGAAGCGGAACTACTACTCCTCCTCCTCCTGCTGCTGTTGCTGCCCCCACTGCTACTGCTACTGCTACGGCTACAGCTACAGCTACAGCTACAGCTACTGCTTCTTCTGCTGCTACTACTAGTTTTACTAGTAACGGTCAGAACTACTACTACGACGACGGCGAGTACACATATTTTTCCTAGCACCAGTACTATGTAGTCGCAGCTTTATTTGATCGCGGGTCGACCTCCTTCCTGTAAGTGGAAGGAGAGGGGGATGAAATTTGGGGTGTTCGGGGCGGGGGCCCGGGCGGGAATGGTAAAGTCATGTTCTCGCGATTTCTTGCGCATATCCGAGTGGTTGATTTTAGTCTTTCAGGCGCCCGTAAATTGCAAATGCCCGATAATACAAAGCTTAGGCTTTAGCGGTTTACATGTTGTGCTGGCCTTGTGCAGTGTTAATACAGGGCTTGCAAAGATGTGCTTGTCCAAACATACTAGTACGTATTGTCCTGCAAAACTCCCAAAATATCACATCTTAGCTTTTGGCCAGCGCGGAGAAGTGATTGGTCTTAACCCTTGTCTATGACTGGCTTACCGCTGTACACGAACAACTCGGACATTATGTAGACGTATGCAGTCCTGTATTTTACGGCTTTTGGAGGCATCGATTGCAAATCACGCTAAAAGAAAACAAACAATCAATCGCAATCCTTTTCAGTCCAACAAGTAATTTTCCGAGAGTTGAACCCCTCACGTGTCTGCAGCAGGAAAGAATCAGCAGCCACGAAGTGCTGTAAACCGCAGTAGAAAAGCTACTTCGCAGAAACCATGCCCACAGGAAATGCTGCGTGTCCAGAAGCAGTGCGACGCCTAGTCGTACTGGTGCTAGCACCAGGAAGAGGAGCAGCAGGAGCTAAGAATGACAATGACAAAAGCAATAACAGTAACAGGGTTTAGGGGTTTAGGGTTTAGGGTAACAGTCTGAAAAAAACAGCCTTGATATCTCTCCGCGCCAACCAACAAAATGGCAAATCATTGCCGGGGACACGCGGTGATCCAAAGCCACTGTGGGCTGGTGAGCCGTAGGCGCCAGCCCTCCTGGGTGTCCCATCGGCTTCCAGCTTCCTACCATGCCCTCTGAGTCAGCATAAAAAAAGCGGGCCTTGATAAGTAGAATAAGGCTTTGGGACCCCCCCCCCTCCGCCCTCGACCCGCCCCGCGCTGCGAGCTTGTAGAGCTTGGGTCCAAGGTTTCTGTCGGCTCCAGGTTCCAGGATTTACTCACGAGAAATTGAGGTTACTTAAAGGTTCATGGGACTTAGTAACTATGGTTATAAGTAAGGCAAGTAAGGTAAGTATACTTACAATTGGACGTAATTTCAGTTAGGGTACTTATAACTTTACTTACTATATAAGTCCCATGAACCCCCAAGTAGGGGTTTGAGTGTAGGCCAAGGATGCTGGTTGTTATAGAGTCCCGCGCTTCTACGCAGAGGACTTGCGCAGAAGCAATCCCCTGTACACTCAGACTGCTAGTTTCTGGCGCCTGCAAGATCTCAGCAAAAGAATTCTCTTCAGCAAGACAACTTTTCACGGGATAGTGATGCAGGCTCCGGATGCTTACCTCAGACGTGTGCAGCCGGGCCGAGGCGGGCGACGCGAAGCGCTTAAAATTATCACGGCTCCTACATTACCCGATCGGGCTGATATCCACCTGCAGAATAAGGGTCTGGACGGGTGAATGGCCAGTGTGGACCCGCACCTGGGCTGCGCAATGGAACGGGTGGGGCCGTAGCCGTAGCACAAACTCCTCAAATCCAGCACTTTCTGGTAAGATATCATAAAAATATCTATATATATATATATATATGTTACATGTTATATATATATATATAATAACCTGCTCTTCCTGACCCTCTGTCCTCAAGCTGCAGCATGTGGAAGCTCAGTCTAGAAAGCGCCAAGCAACATAGCCCCCGCTTGGCGAGGAGAGTTGTGTAGGGGAATCGGAATCGAAGATATCGCCCATGGGGCCAACTCGACAGTCACTCCAGGGGCAGAATCAGGCTAGGCTTGGAGGGTTGACTGAAATCTAGGCTGACCTGCCTAGGGAGCAGAAGGTCACTTCAGATGGCTCAAGTTATGAAACCCTACAGAACTCCAGGTTGAAGGTTGATTTAGTTGAAATTACAGTAAACCTTCCAAACCCTAAACCCTGAACCCTTATATGGAAGAAGGCTTGTGGTTGCAGGACGGCCTGTGCTGACTGCTTCGTACAAGACAGTTCCATGCAAGGCCAGCACGTCCCTCTTTGGGGAGGCTGCTGACTTGATCTGCCAAGACAATGCACGTGGTCCCGGCGACGGCCGTCAAATGCTCCAAGGGAGTCACTGAAACCAGAGCACTGAGGGCATGGCAAACTCCCTTTAGCAAAACACTGAATTGCAGCCAGGGCATGTCATGCAGGAGTTAGTTAGTCATTGCATGACGGTACATGCCCTTCTTGCGACTTGAACCTGCGACTGTTCGATACCTCTTTGATGTAGTCCACTGGGCACCAACCCGTTTCTGACTTCTTTGAGCGGCCTCAATTTCCGAATTCCTCCTTGTATAGAGAGCCCTGCTTCTCCCTGCTCCAAAACCAAAACCCTAAACCCAAAAAGCCAAAACTCCTGAACCCTACACTCGAACCGTCTCAATGAGCTGATGCCTGCGCTGGCGGGCCCGACCACCAGATCCTGAGACGACTCAGGTGGACACGAGCACCAAACCACCAGCATCGTCCTAACAGGAACCCATACACTCCAATATCCCTTAATCAAGTAAGGAATCTCTCTTAAGTTATGGTAGGATCCCTACTATGATTTAAGGTATATTCCTTAGTTAAGAGGGATATTGGAGTCACTGGGCAGCAAAGCTCCGGTGCGCTGAGACAGCTGCCGGGGCGGAGGAGGATGTAGCCAAAGTCTTGGCCTGGGTTTAGGGTTTAGGGTTTGGGGTTTAGGGATTGGGGTTTGAGGTTTAGGGTTTACGATTTCGGGGTTTAGTGTTTAGGGTTGAAGGGGTTTAGGGGTTTAGGGCTTGCGGATTTAGGGTTTCCTGTTTAGGGTTCGGCCTGGGATCAAGACTCAGAACCCTTAAAGGATCAAGCCAACATAGAAGACCCAAACAGGTTTTCCTAGCATTACATGGGTTGAGACAGCCCTTTGTTCAGAGGTTCTGCTTTTTTGTATCCTTGCGGGACACTCTCATAAACAAACAATGTGTAAACCTTAGAAGGGGCCCCCACCCTGTAATAGTTGTATAATCGGAATATAATAGGGCCCTAATATAATCCTTATAGTCACTATTACAGGGTGGGGGCCCCTTCTAACGTAAACCTTTATAAGCCGGCAGAGCCCATTCAGGCCCCCATGAACCCTAAACTCCAAGAGCACACCACCGCCATACAATAGAAGCCTAAATAAGTACCAATGTTATTCTTTAGGGTTCCACACTATAGCTACACTGTAAGGGAGCCCAAAATGTGTAAACCTTAGAAGGGGCCCCCACCCTGTAATAGTTGTATAATCGGAATATAATAGGGCCCTAATATAATCCTTATAGTCACTATTACAGGGTGGGGGCCCCTTCTAACGTAAACCTTTATAAGCCGGCAGAGCCCATTCAGGCCCCCATGAACCCTAAACTCCAAGAGCACACCACCGCCATACAATAGAAGCCTAAATAAGTACCAATGTTATTCTTTAGGGTTCCACACTATAGCTACACTATAAGGGAGCCCAAAACCCCCTATTCTAATGATCAAGGCCCCGAAAGTAATCGATTTGCAAGAAACATGGAGGCGATAGCTTGGAAACGATGGTTCCATTTGCTTTCCAGTTTAGGGTTTAGGGTTCGTGGTTTCGGATCTCACGTTTGGCGGTTTAGGGCCTGTGTTTAGTGTTTCGGGTTTAGGGTTTTGCAGGAGAGCTGTCGGCGATCGACAGAATCGAAATCAATCTTTTGCAGATGTCACATGAGTAGGTCTCTAGAGTTTGCAGATGTCACATGAGTAGTTCTCTAGAGCAGTCCCGTTCTAGATCCCCAAATATAGTACGGCACTCTTATAACACACGAAAACCCCGAACTTAGAGAACTACCTACATGGGCCGTGCTCTGGGATACGAGCGGACGCTGGGCTCGCATCTGTCTGCAACAACCTCTCGCGCGGTGGCTTCTCAAAACTGGGGCAACTGGGGTGCCGTGTTACAGCTCAAAGTGTAAATGCTGCTAAGAAGAATGTGCTAAGACTCGGATCTTTGTTGGGAACATCCGTCGGAGGTGCAGATGCTCCAAAGTTTCACCACTTCCTGGAGCCTGATGAAACCCTAAGCCGCTGAACCCTCAAAGCCGCGAAGAGAAGGGCTTGGGTGGAAGGCTTTGAAAATGGGGGACCCTCATGTAAACCTATAGGCTGGAGTCTAGAGTCTGGAGTTTAGTTGACGATGTGGGGTTTGGGGTTTGGGTGTTCGCTGTAAGCCAGAGGATCGTCGAAGCCGCCCGGCTTGGGGTGGCAATGGCAAAATGTGGGATGTCATGATATGTGGGCTTCCTTTTTGGTGGTGTCCTTGTTGATAAGAATCCTGTCGTCCATGCAAGAACGGGATAAGCGTCCCTAAACCCTAAACCGGCAAGGCACGCTCTGCCAGCCTCTGTGCGTTGGCAGGGCCTGCCGATGGGAGGCGGACGAGCGGCGCCCGCCGCAGGCCTTGAGGGCCCAGGATTTGTGCGGTTCTCTAAAGCAGGATCCCTTTCAGGCTTCATTTGATGAGGGTATGATATTAATTGACGGGACCTAAAAAGGGACCCTAATTTGGAGAGCCACCCATTTAGGGCTTCGGGTTCAAGGTTTAGACACGCTGCGAAGATCCGTGGCCGAGGGATGACGATACGAAGCCCTCATAAAGTGAGCGGAATTCCACGGGCTGATATCGGAGGCCTAAAAAAATGAAGCTTTGAGACAGACTGTATACTAACTAAGTTTGTGTTTGGGGACACGCGGAGGCTGTTACTAGTTGATTCGACTTCTATTTTGCCTAGAAGTGCGGATGAACTGTAAGCAGGTGAGTAGTTGTCAACGTTAGGGTCCGTTTTTGGGTCATTATCAGAATACGGCACCTAACATTTAGGGTACCCAAAAATAAAGGGACCCTAGTTTTGAAAACTATGCAGGTGAGAGCGAACCGCGGCGCTCTTCCCCGAGACCCGGGCCCGGTTCCTGAACTCACAAAAGGCGAAACCCTGCTCCAAATATCAAGGCTTAAACCCTAAACTCTGCAACCCTAAACCTAAAACCCTAAACCCTTAAACCCTAAACCCTTAAACCCTAAACCCTAAAACCCTAAACCCTAAAACCCTAAACGCTAAACCCCTAAAACCCTGAAGAGCTGAGTCCCCTGGCGCTGGCGCCCTGTCTTCTCCTGCGCCCAGAGCTCGGAGTCCTCGCAGGAGGTCTACTCGGAGGGTCATGCGAATTAGGAAGAATGGTTTAGGGCTCCATTGAAGGGTACTATAGGGTTCTTTAGTAGGGCTCCTTGAAGGGATCTATAAGGGTTCTAGAAGGAGGATCATGGGACTTGGTATGTATGGTTATAAGTATAAGTACCTTGAATCGGGGGTTATAATTAACAATAAGTATAGTTACCCCAATGGTTCTTAGTAGGGAATGGGGGTTCCTTTAAGGGTTCCGTTTAAGGGCTTCTATAAGGTCTACTATAAGGGTTATGCTATCGGGGTTTGGTGTTCTTCGTAGGCTGACTGGTTGGCATGCGTTTTGGGAACGACTATGGGGGATTATGTCGGGGCTGCTACAAGGATCCATTCCCCCATTCCTACTAAGCACCAGACAGTAGAGCCCAAGCCCCAATGTAAACTAGAGCTACTTTGGGTTCTCATTGGGTTATACATGGTTCTGTAAGGGGGGTCGGGGACTATACTTACTTACTATAGGTATGAAGGCCCCCTAAGGGCCCCTATGGTTTTTTTGCTTTAGGGTTGACGAATGTTAGGATGGGAGGCGACTCCCAGTCTGACTTTCAGGTGGCAGGTCCGTGGAGCCTAACTTTAGGATCCTTATGAACAATCCTGCGACATGTAATGTAGGGGCCTTCATAAGAGAATAGGGTTTTCGGGCCCATTCTACTATAACTATAATAAGGAGCCCCCAAAGTGGTATAGGTAATGATTTCGGCCCATATCGACGGGCTTCTGATTTTCTGCGGCTGCCATGCCGATTCCTGCCATGTGCATGTACCGGAGGCCTCCGTCATCGGCTGCTTAAAGCAAGTCGCAGCTGGGGTGGCCGGCGGCGGAAGCCTCGGGCAAACTGCATAAACCTTGGGATCGGTGCTAAGTTTATTTAAGGTTTACTTCGACCCTAAAGAATCTACCTTTTTAAAAGAAATTAAGAACTTATAAAAGGACACCATACTAGGGAACCCGAAAAAGGAAGGTTTAAAAGGGTCTAAACCCTAGTTATCTAGGATCGGTATGAAATCTATTTTTCAAGTTTGCTTGAAAACTTAATGGTTTTCTTATTCAAGGTTTACGGATTAGGCAGGGTTCGGAGTTCCGCTTTTACTCAACCGGAAGCCTGGGTCCTACACTGCTGAACAGGCGAAGCGTCCCTAAACTAAACCCTGAAAGGGTTTAGGGTTGAGGGTTTAGCCCTGAGCCCTAAAGCCCTGAACCCCTCAACTGTGCACCGGGATCCACACAGAGGCCGTGCGAAGCTTCGCTTTTCTCCGGTCGTCGCCCATTCCAACCAAGCGATACTGGCAAGTTCCAAGAGCAGGAGGGTCGAAGACTCTTGATGACATCTCTCAGAAGCATCCGGCAGGAAGTTACATACGCTGTGCCCATGCTGCCTCCACTGTCTGCGAATTCTGCATCCATGGTTATGTGGGATGTTCACCCCTGACGTAATCAAAACATGCAATGAGGTACTTGGTAGGGGGACCATAAAAGCCCCTTTGAATCGACAGACACCCAAAAAGGAGGCCCTTCAACATTCAAAAACCGTCGATTTCGTGTCAGGCGCACCGCCAAGCAAACCACTCCGACTGCTTCGCCATCTCACGCTCCATCTCGCGGGAGTGTGCCTGATACTAGAGGGGGCCGTAATAATGAGAATAAGGTTTCACAGGATTCCTGTAAAGTTACTCTAAGGGCTACTGTAAGGGCTACTATAAGGGTTCTATATTATTAGGGGCCTCAGAAAGTACCAATACTTTATTTGGGGGGCTCCTTATTATAATCAAAGCTATAATGGGCCCTTACAATTAAAGCTACAATGGGTCCCAAAACCCCACTTTAATTATGAAGGCCCCTGTACTTTAATAATCGACCAAATCAAGACACACCGGTGAGGGCTAAGGGCTGTGGGTTTTGCGTGGAGAAACTATGGCTTCTAGATACTTGCCTTGTTTATAGGATAGGTTACTGGCTGCTGAAAGAAATCTTTTCATGGACTGCCGGATACTTACAGAGCTTCGTAGAGTTGTGTTCGGATGTTGAAGAAGATTGGCTTCTAGATGCTGGCTCGTCTCTTTCGAGTTGTTTCTTGGGTGCCAAGCAAGTCTGGGGCTTCGCGCATAAGGTGTGGTCTTTCATCATTAGACGAGCTTTTGGGACAATCTATGGTATCTGGACTACGGTTTACGATTACTAATTCTTCCGAGCCCTACACTATCCTAAGAGATCGGGGATCTCTTGCCACATGTCATCGTGGAGGTCAGGTGATAGGCTCCCGGTTCCACAAGTTGTTTTCGGGTTTAGAGTGGCGTAGAGTGATCAGGGTTGCGCGCTGTAGGTAATTAAAGGTTCAGGGTTGTACCCAGAGAGCCCAATACCCCTTAATTAAGGAATATAGCTTAAATCAGAATGTGAAGCCCCTAATGCTTTTCGGTATATTCCTTAATTAGGGGGCAATGGGCTCCCTGGGTAGGGCTCAGAGTAACTAGCGTTTCGGATTCGGGCTTCGGGCTTAGAGCAATCAATGGGTTTGGCGTTTTTTTCGGGTTTAGGGTTTAGAGTTGTTTAGGTTGCCTCTTCTTGCACGCATGCTCCACGCCTGCGGACCGTCACCGAGACTATTTCCAAAATGGAGCATTTCACAGTTCCTTGCAGCCCTTTAAATTTCCACTCATGCCATCTCCGGAAACTTTAACCCTAAACCCCTAAACCCTAAACCCTAAACCTTTTTCATACATACAATTGATTCTCGCAATTGCCGGATGCATTGCCAAGTTCGTGTCCTCTACAGTTCCTTGCAACTTACAGACTTGCCAACATCCCGGGTTCCGGCGCCTCATTCTGCAGCAGGGCGTTGGTGGAATGCTCCTTAGCGCGTACCGCGCGTCAAGAAGCAGAACAAGAGCTTAGGGTTTAGGGCCTAGTTTAGGGCCTGTGGGCTCAGGGTTTAGGATGTGGGAGTTTCCGAAAATTAGGGGTACATTATTTTGGGACCCTTATAATAGGTATCCTACTTTTTGGGGTACTATATTAGGGTCCCCTATTTTCGGAAACTCCCATGTTGAGGGCTGACAGGATGTTTAGGGTTTACGGTTTAGGGTCTCGGGTCAACGAGCAACACACAAAGTTGCAGTACAGATGCAACAGGCGCTGAAAAGTCCCCATGACAAACATGAAGCCTGAATGGTTTGTGGCACATAATGAAATGACCTAGCCTAACTACAAGGGCTTAGGGTTTAGGGTTTAGGCCATGAAGCTGAAACACAGGGCGTTGGCCGAATCCCGAAGTCTCCTCCTAAACCTGCAAGTGCTTCTTTGCCTGCCGAGAACCACCATGACGCCTAAGCCCGAAAAAGGGCTTAGGGCTTAAAGCTTAAAGGGCTAAACCCTGAAACGAGATCTCTTTACCCTAAACGTCCCCAAACCCCCAAACTCTGAGACCAAAGACCTAAACCCCAAACCCTGAGCCCTAAACCCCTAAACCCCTAAACCCTAAACCCTAAACCCTAAACCCTAAACCCCTAAACCCCTAAACCCTAAACCCTGAACTCTGAGGGCTCAGGTCTGGACGAGGCTGACCAATCGACCTCGAGGATGAGCCGGGCCAAAGCAAATAACTTCTGGGATTACAGTTTTAGGGGGGCCCTTGGGGTTTAGGATTATAGGGCTTCAGAGGTTGTAGGGTTTGATTATAGGGTTTACGGATGAAATTTGAAAAGATCTGCAGATAAGTTTCTCCTTGCATACTGCAGATCCCTGAGGAATAAAGCCGCCTTATACACTCAAAGAGTGAATGATCGCCTGGCAGTCCCCGAGCGGACACCCTGAACAAAATAACCACAAAGTGGTTATATGACTGCATATGGGAGTTTCCGAACTTAGGGGTACCTTATTTTGGGGACCATATAATAAGAATCCTACTATTAAGGGTACCATATTAGGGTCCCGTGTTTTCGGAAACTCCCATATGACAAAGTGTGACCACGCGTTTGCGGAATAGCAACTAATGGGGATCCCATTATTGCAGGCATTGGAGAAGGGTCGGTCGCTACTCACAGGTCTATGTTTCCAGGTATTGCGCAGTTGTACCCTCCGTTCCAGCGGACTTAAAACAGGCGCCTTAACAAATAGAATAGGGTTTGGGGGCCCATTATACCATATTACAACCAAGGAACCCCCAAAAAAAGTATTGGTACTTGTTTTGGGCCCTAACATAGCCCTTTTTGTAACCCCTTTAAAGGAATCCTATGAAACCCCATTCTAACTATAGACGCCCTATTGTACCCAGAGAGCCCAATACCCCTTAATCAAGGAAAAGAGCTTAGATCTTAATATGAAGCGCTTTAAAATTTCAGCCAGATTCCTTAACTAAGGGGTATTGGGCTCTGTGGGTACCCTCCTATATCATAGCACCCTTATAGTAACCTTTATTTAGAGGGACCTTTATAGGAACCCTATTCTAATTCTTAAGGCCCCCATATTATTGCACCCTCCGTTGCAGCGGAGTGAACTCAAGAGCCCAAGCTGCTCGAGAGACTGCGTTCGAGCTGGTCCGCTCGATGTGCGGCGGTCTGGCATGCAGGGATCTATAAGGGTTCCTATAAGGGTTCCTATAAGGGTTCCTAAAAAGAGTTCCTCTAAGGGTTCCTCTAAGGTAAGGGTTCCTATAAGGGTTCCTGTACGGGTTTCTAGAAGGGATCTGTAGGGTTTTAGGGGACTCCAATGTCCCGTAATTATAGAGTTTTCCTTGAAATTTTTGTAGGGATCCTGGATCCCTAATATGATTTACGGTCCATTCCTTAATTAAGGGATATTGGAGTCTCTGGGAAGTGCAGAAGCTATAGAAAACATGCCGAGAACCACAAGACCGAATTGGCTTCACTGGCGCATGCCCTTAATTAAGGAATATGGCCTAAAAGCAACCCAGAGACTCCAATATCCCTTGGTTAGGGAATATACCTTAAATCATATAAGGGATCCCTAATATGATTTAAGTTATATTCACTAATAATTAAGGGATATTGGAGTCCCCTAAACCCTAAACCCCATACATCCCTTATAGGAGCCCTTTTACAGGAACCCTTATAGATCCCTTTAAACTCGACCCTTTCTTTAAAGCGATATTTGATGTCTCTGAGTCAGATAAGGGCTGGTGTGGAGTGCAGGCCTCCGCGTGCTTGTGCAGCTCAGCCCACATGGCTTCCTCTCACAGAGAGCTGAATATGGGTTTAGGCTTTTTTTTAAAGGGCCCTTTTTCCAAGTGCACTCCGCGTCTGGGTTTAGGGTTTAGGATTTAGGGTTTAGGGTGGGCCTGAATAATTAGAATAGGGTTTTGGGGCCTATTCTACTGAACTTATAAGAAGGAACCCCCAAAATTGTGTTGGTAATTATTTAAGCCCCTATATTACAGCTCTTGCAATGGCAGAGCACACCTGAAGTTCTCAACTTCGGCAGTGTCGGCTTTACAATAACTGCCCCGCCCCCCCACAGAAACTGAGCCACTGAGCCTGTCTAGCTTCAGACTTTGCGTCAATCTCACGGAGGATGTGGTCTGGGATCACCACCTTCTCAGTGTCCAATCAGATGCTGCTAGGGTTTAGGGTTTAGGGTCTTTTTAATGTGAACTGACTTCTCAGTCTGCCCGCAGTCGGCTTACACACAAAAGACATCCACTGAATCGGGTTTAGGGTTTAGGGACATCTCCGAGCATGTACTTGCTACCCTGCTATCGACTTGCACAAAAAAGCCGTAAATGAGGGAGACACGCAGCTTGCCAAGCTCCAATAGAGACCCAACCTGTATACAAAACCGTATACCATCCCATGGAGCCCGAAAAAGACACAAATGAACCCTGCATACTTCCCTATGACCCCAGTCTTAACCCAGGTTTAGGATTTAGGGTTTCAGGGTTTAGGGTTTCAGGGTTTCGGGTTTGTCCCCGCGCCTCCTTCTGCAGCTCGGTCTGCACGTGAACCAATGCTCCCTGAAGCGCCTAGCAGAATCGAAGCATCTGTAGGGTTTAGGGTTTAGGGTTTAAGGTCTTCGGGCTTAGGGCTTAGGGGTTTGGGGTTTGGGGGGTTAGAGTTGCGGGTTAGGGAATTCCGGTTCCGGCATGAAGGGTTGAGGAAGTAGCACCAATTTAGGGGTTGAGAGTTTGGAGCTGGGCGTTTCCGAAATTAGGGGTACCTCAGTTGGGGTCCTTACAATAAGGATCCTACTATCCTGGGTACTATATTAGGGTCCCCTATATTCGGAAACTCCCATATGGTTGTGGGGTTTAGGGTCGAGGGCTCATGATTAGGGTTCGGGGTTATGTGGACCCGACGGTACCCGTGCCTTGATAACACGAACTTAGTCTGTCGAATCACCCTTAACCCACTGTCTGTATTAAACTCCGAATATTTATTATCCTCCGGGAATCAGGGCTTTTGGGCTACTGCTGGGCCCACCGGAGACGTTACTGTAAGTATCAGGTGCAACGTAAAGGTTGCAATAAGCGGTTCTATTGTAGTTCCGGATTTACTGTAGATTCAATAGGGGTTGAGGATGTTGGTGATTCGGGTGGTTTACTCGTACGGCTTGAGATGAACACCCAACATTTCGCCCACAATAATTTAGAATGGCGCTTTGGGGTTGTATACTATAAAACAGCCGGACAACAAGGCACCTTAACCTCAAATATTGAGACCCCTGTGAAACCCTTATCGAAAACATATTAAAACGCCTCTCGAATAAACCGGCAGCGTCCAGCCCTGTAGCAGCTGTACTATACCACTGCAGAAAGCAGACTCAAAAGAGAACGTTGTGTTTGCGACCCGTTGGGCAACCCACCTAGGAATCAGAAGCCCGACCGGACCGTGATCCCTACACCCTAAACCATCATGGAAACACTGAAACCCCAAACCCGGCATGTAATATAGGGGCCTTACTATTTTGGGGGGGTTCTTATCATAACTATAGTATATTGGGCCCCAAAACCCTACTCTGACTATTCAGGCCTCTATATTAGTGACGGACGCCCCGGCCTGAACGTCCATGCCGAGCTGCTTTAACCTGGTTTAGTATCTAGGCTTGAGGGCTTAGGGGTGGGTTTACGGTTTAGGGGTTTTCGGGTGTGGGGTCATGTAGCACACGCTGGTGACGCGATACAGCTTTTCAAGGTGCTGAAGCGGCTCTTGATGCTCATTTACAACAAAAAAGTACATCTGGGTTGGCCTTTAAACACCCTGAAAAGTATTTATATATACAGGGTCCCTTATAAACCCAAATAAGGAAAATGAAAATGACCCAAAATCCAACCTAGACAAATACATTCTTTAAGCAAAAGGCTGTGGCTTCGAAGTCTCTGGGCAGGCCCGACCCCGAAACCCCGAAGCCTTGCAAGGCGGCCGTGTCAGACGCACATGCTTCGATCTGATCGTATCCGGTCCGAATACCATGCCAGCCCGCATACATCGGGGCCTAGATATGTACCTATGCTATTTTGGGGGTTTCTCTTTATAACTATTGAGTAAACCCTAGTCTAATTGTTACGGCCCCCCTTTATTGCGGTACCCTTAAAGATCTGCACCAGACATAAACTCTTCGAGCACCACAATGAAAAGACGACACCAGTAACCATGTTGGCGACGCGAAGTATCCGAATACATTTTTCGATGCGAGTACCGCCTAGGCCCCATGAATCCAAAGACTCCAAAAACACTAAATCCTTTGAATATAGGGGGATCCTTATTATACTTCAAGGCTTACGTACCGTGAGTATAGAGCCTAATTAACGGCCAATGTGGGACGCACGCCAACGCAGGAGGCACGATGCCTTCGTGATTGAATCAAAGTATCGGAGTATCAGGCTGGACACACTGACATGTCACATATGAATAACTTCTACAGGGCTTGCAGGGGTAGGTTGTAGTACTGCATAGGGATGTTTAGTATATTCCGACCCGGAGCGCATAGCAGGACACAGATGGTAGGGAGATGTCGAAATCAGTGAAAATACTCATCGCAGGCCCGTAGGCGTCGAGAAGGGTTTCTGTTGGAAGAATGACTGTGGGCACTGGTTTCACCCGCATACACGTACGGTTTGTCAGCTGGGAAAACCCTGCTTTAAACCCTAAATCCTAAACCCATGTATGCACCCATAACTTCGATGCATCGGGAGAGCCTCCGGGGGGCGTAATAATTAGAATAGAACTTGGGGTCCCCATTATACTATAGTTATAAGTTATAAGGGACCCCCCAAAATAGTATAGGTAACTGTTTAAGCTCCTATATTATGCAGTTGTATGTCCATCGCTGGGCACTGAGCTCACTACAAAGAGAAACTCGCGCCGCCTTCGGAACCAGAAGAATCCGCCCAGCTGCGAAATTACTGTGTCCTTGTTAAGGGGTTTCATATAGGTTACCATAATAAGGAAACTCTATTATTTACTATAGATCTCTGCTATGGTAACTTCAATTAAGTTCCTTAACAAAAACCAGATAATGAAGAGGCTTTCAATGGCAAGAGAATTGACATGCAAGCAACCTCTTCTCTTCCAGCTGGTTGAATCGGTTGGTCAGCTGGTGCAGCTCCGTGGACGTGGCCTGCTACGCGACCGGAGTTGGTCGTAACAGAGGCCCAAAAACAAGCCTGCCTCCTTTGTTTTTAAGAAGCTCTGCGCCAAGCTATCCGTGGCCTCCCGGCCGGATCCTCAGGGGCAAGACAGTCTTTGAAACACCTGATTTGGGAGTTTCCGACAGTTAGGGGTACCTTATTTTGGGGTCCTCATAATAAAGATCCTACGATCTAGGGTGCTATATTAGGGTCCCCCATTTTCGTAAACTCCAGTTTGACATGCTCCAACTTGTCATACTCCAGTGGGCTTGGCAATGCTTTCGCTGTAGACTGTAGGCAGTGTCATCTCTCGGTGAATCTTCGGGGATGTGGAGCAGCGGTCATGTAGACTCACCCCTGATTCATAGACCCCCCATGTCTTAAAGATTTTCATCAGAGGGAGGGGAGGGGGTTGATTCATCAGGGTTCTCTATGTATTCGACGTCGGAGCTTCGGCCGTATCTTATCCAAGGATCTCGCCACCTCCTCCGAAACCTACGGATTTGCGCTGACCCGGTAAACTGAAGGGATTTAGGGTTTAGAGCTTCAGGGTTTTAGGATTTAACGGTTAAGGGATTACGGTAAGGGTTTAAGCAGGGAACATCTTGCTCAAAGGTTCGCGACTTTCTAAGGGATCTAGATGAACCAATGTCCCCCTGAAGTCTTGCAAAGCGCTGACAGCACGACTGCCCAGCATAATTATGATTCTTCGAACATGAAGAGGCCACAAGATCGCAAACGATGCCACACTTGCATCACCATGAACCCTGCCTTAAAGCCTAAATATCCTAAAGCCCAACTCACGTCTTTCGCTGAGGCATGAACGTAGCTCCTCCTTCAGCGCTGGCAGCTCATTCAATGCTGCCTTGGCCGCCTTGTCAGGGCAACGCAGAGGGATCGCTTGGGGTTCTAGAAGGAGGATCATGGGACTTAGTAAGTAGGGTTATAAGTACCTTAATTGGGGTTATAAGTAATCCGCCGAGGCCAGAGGCCCAGGCGTTTTGGTGGTTACCTCAGGTACCCTCTCCCTGCAGCCGAAATGATTGGTGACACCCTGTTTTTGCGTTCGTTTGCCACCCCCTTGCCCGGCTTCCCCTCATTTTACCTGATTTGTCCCCCCCTGCCCCCCCCTCCCCCCCCCTCCCCCCCCCCTCCCTCCCCCTGTGCCCGTTTTCCTGGCACTTCGTATCAACAACCGTGTAAAGGTTGGGGTTTGACAGGCCGCCCTAGCATAAAAAAACATCGACTGCCCCCTCGCCCTGCCGCTACACAGCCGAGGCGGGCGGCGTAGCGTTAAAATTAAACCATAACTGTATATAGTTACTTTACTTATAATTTATAACCCTACTTACTAAGTCCCATGATCCTCTAAGCAACCGACAGCGAGACGACTGCCACGAGTGCGGCTAACGCGCTCGCGCCCACGGAAACTTCATTGCTGGGCAGGCAGCTCGCTTGCACGAGCTAGAGATTTTTCTGCCGGGTTCAGCCGAGCATTCAGGCAGCGGTGAGAGAAATTGTAGCCGTCTGCTGTTGTACAGGAGCATCACACAGCCAAGCCTAGCCTAGCCCGTAGGGAAGTCTCCGACAAGGCAGGAAGGCATCAGGCTTCCTTTTCACACTACGGGTACCATGGAAGAGGCCGCTTGCAACCAACGCAACAAGTAGGTTGTTTTAGGGTTTAGGGTTTAGGGTTTAGGGTACAGGGCCCTGGCCTAACGCTTGATTGAAGCAGTTCTCCAGCTCGAGTATCTTGAAAAACTTATAAGGCTTAGGGTTTAGGGTTTAGGAGGATCAGACCCACATTCAGAAAACCTAGGAACACAGGTCAAGCACGAAAGAAGCCAACATCAAGAGCCATGAGTAGTAGGCACACGGTCTGAAGACTCCTATGACCACTACAAGTATCATAAGGACCCTTATGCTGGGTGGGGGGCCTCCATGCACATGATAAGGACTTATAAATACTAATTAAGGTCTATTTAAGGAAGTATATAGTCCCCTACTCCCCTCCCCCCTACGTACCCCAAAAGGTCCCTATGACAGCAGGGAGCAACACCCGGCAAGTGCAAGGGCCTTCAGCTGGACAAGGAAGTCATCCTGGCCGCTTAGATACGTCCAACGAGCACGATTCTGGCTTTTTCTATGCCCGGGTACGGGGTTTAGGGTATATAGGTCGCGCGCGGATTCCTTCAACTTTTCGCCAATTATTCATTCAACCAGTGCCCGCGAATTCTGTCAACCCGAGAACGCGGATGCATTCCACCCTAAAACCTGCTTCGTTCAACCCCGGCACGCGGATTCACTCAACCATGGCCCCGGCAGTGATTCCTTCAACCCAAACAACTGCTTCGTCAACTCCAACAACTGCTTCGTTCTACCCATATATATATATATATATATTTACACAAAGAGTCGCTCCAACTACGGACACGGGTGCTACCCCACAACAGTTTAGTGTTGACGGCAGCGGGGGGCGGAGTTGACGGAATCAGCACAGTCTGCGTTGATGGAAGCGGGCGATGCGGGTTGGCTGAATCCGCATTATCTCGGTTGAGGGACGCGGCGAACAGGGTAGAAGGAAGCGCGGTTGAAAGAATCTTGGTTGACGGAACCGCGCAAAGTTGAGGAAGAAGGCTTCTACCAGGGTATATAGGGTTTAGGCGTTTGGGGGTTTAGGGCTTAGGGTACGGGGTTTACGGGTTTACGGGTTTGGGGTATAGGCTTGAAGGGTTGAGGGTTGCAGGGTTCAGGGTTGAGGCTGCGGCATCGCTTTCAGGCAGGAGACTTTCTGCGAAGATCAACTCACCAGGGTCAGCTTCTGCTGGGAACCTTTCATTCCAAGTCTTATTATTTGTTGCCAGCCATGCTCTGTTTACTTTCGGCTCTGAAATCGAACAGAATCTCTGGAAGCCCTCTCCCTCCAGTCGCCCGGGTCCGGAATTGCCAACAAAAAACTCCTGCCTGGCGGAAGCGCAGATTCTCCAAGGACTCGGCGAATTTGCTCACCTCTTCAGAGCCGGGAACAGGGGTAATAGAGGGGGCTCAATAATTAGAACAGGGTTTTGGGGTGCATGATACTATAAAATTACGGTAAGGAGCCCCCAAAATAGTATGGGTAGGTAGATCTACCGAACCCCGCAACCCAAAATCATCTTCCTGTTCTCCTGCGCTCCCCGCAGCTCTCAAGACTCTGAACGTCACAAACCCCTACGGAATCCTGGAACCGTTAACACCCTAAACCCCTAAGTCCGAAACCTCATACAGTAAACAGCATAAAGCTGGAAACCCGACTAAGGCCAAAGAGTGCTGGGATTCCCCATAGATTACTCTTAAGGATTGAGACTACTGGGTTTGCAACTTCTGGGCTTGTAAGACCTTTTGATTCCTGAAAGAACAACAAACCCAGACAAGCTGCCTCAAACCCCAGACACGGATAACTCCCTAGTGCCCTAAACTCTAAACCCTATCCCCAGAAAAGGTAAACTCTCATAATGTAGAAACCTGATTAAGAAACCTTGGGTCTCTTGTATTGGGGGTGATAGGACCAGGTTGCTTAATCAGGTTCCTACATTACCCTATCCTTACCTTTGGTCAGTACGGAATGGAAGCATGGTAGTAATAGTAGTTATAATTCTACCCCATTCCTCCATTCCCTACTAACCAGAGGTAAGTATAGTATAACCCTTGTAGGAACCCTTTTAGTAAGCCTTAAAGGAACCCCATTCCTCCATTCCCTACTAACCAAAGGTAAATATCCCCTAAATCCGAAGCCCTCATGCCTCCTGCTTCAAGGCCGCGCTGCTCTTGGGTCGCTCCAAGCTCGCTTCCACCGCGCCCTTCAAGCTCATCACCTCTCAAGGTTTATCTTACCGTTGGTTAGTAGGGAATGGAGGAATGGGGTACAATTATAACTACTATTACTACCATTCTTCCATTCCCTACTAACCGAAGGTAAGTTATGGGGCTTAGGGCACCTAGGGTTTAAGGCTCTAAGGGTTCAGGAAGCTCTTTACCTGCAGTGCAGGACGGTGTTGCGGGATTTTTTGGTGCTGATGGACTTTTTAAAATTAGGAACTGGGTTCTAAACCCCTAAACCCTAAACCCCTAAACCCTAAACAGAATCTGAGCTTCGAGGTCTAGAGGCTGCTTTCAGCAGTTTCTGGCAACCTTGAAGCTTCCTCTGCCGGCGGTGCCTCTTGTTGCAAGGAATCGTCCTCAACCTGCAGTGACTCTCTCGGTTCGGCTATGATGGTTAAGGGAAGAGGGTCTAGGGAATAGGGTTTAGGGATTAGGGTTTAGGGTTGAGGGTTTCGGGATTAGTGTTTAGGGATTAGGGATTAGGGTTTGGGGATCAGGGTTTAGGGATTAGGGTTTAGGGATGCTCTGGGACAGCAGGTTTCTCTAGGGGCCTTGTTAATTGGAATAGGGTTGTGGGGGTTCCTGCGTATCACTAAAGAAGAATATCCCCCCAAACCCTAGTCTAATTATTAAGGCCCCTACAGCACTCCCACCTCTTGGCGCGGCTTCATTCTTTCGACATTGGGCTGTTAGAGAAGACTGTAAAATCTACGCCCACTGTTGCTTCAGATTCTGCACCATCAGCACCACCACCAGAGCGCTGCAACACTCTGCGTCATCGACTCTGCCTCGGTTCCCTTGTGGGCGCAATACGGGAGTTTCCAAAAAAGGGGACCCTAGTATAGTACTCTGAATAATAGGATCCTTATCGTAAACACCCCCAAAGAAGGTACCCCTAATTTCGGAAACTCTGAACACTAAACCCTGTATAGAACCCTGATAGATCCCTTCAAGGAACCCTTATGGATGCCGTGAAAGGTACCGCTAATTTTCGGAAACTCCCATATACAAGACGAAGGGGCAATCGCATGTCCGCACATCTACCGATCCTACCGGATCTCAGCTTCAATGTACGAGTAGGACGAAGCGAAGCGTAAATAATATTGCCGGAACGTTGTATCACTGAATTCTTGTCAGCTCTGTTCAGCTTTGGGCCCAGGAAGCTGGGAGCCCAGCTTTTTCACGCAGATCCGCGAGGGAAGCCGACACACGCTCCACCTTTGCAGAATGCAATCCCGCACTGGCATGGTGCAGTCAGTAGCTGCGAGTTTTGTCTCAAGCCCTTGCCAACTGTAGCTCAAGACAAGGACAAGATCACAAATCGCAACGTAGCAAGGATCAAACACACCCGAAAACCATCGTATCCAGCCTCCTGCTGGAGCTGCTGGCCCGACTCTACCTTTCCAAGGCTTCAGTGAAGCAAGAAGAAGTCTGGACCAACAGCCATTGGTCGTGTGCTCGAGAACAGTTACATCTCTGTTGACAAGTCTTCGGGGCCAGGTGCTCGGTAGAAGCGCACAGCAATTTGCGTTAGCATAATTCCTTCGCTGTTGTCTGCAATCTAGCATTGCAGCCCCGGTCTTATAAAGCCGCGAAAGCGTCCTGATCACGACACGTGGCACACCTGGAGCCTCCAACACGGTGGCTAGAACAAGGGCGTGAGGCATTCGGACGCAGACGATGCTGCTTGCACTTCTTCTACCTCATCTGGCCGTCATGATAATCTAAACCACGATTGAAATGGTTTTGCTCTCGTCGTCATAAGAATGCCGTGCATATCATCATTCTCGCCACCACCACCATCATGATAGTAGAGATCGCTATCACGGCCATCAGTGTCAACACCACCACCACCACCACCACCACCATAATAATAACTCACCACCACCAGCATCACCATCATCCCCATCATCGTCGTCGTCGCTGTCGTCATCATCTGCCTCACCACAAGCATATTCTGACACCGAGCGCTTGTAAGCTGAAGTTCCGTAAGCACAGGAAGTTGGGAGCCCAGCTTTTTCACGCAGCTCCGTCAGGGAAGCCGACACACGCTCCACCTTTGCAGAGTGTCTCGCGTTGTCCCGGACATTCCCCCCAGTGGCTAAGCGTATGGCAAGGATCCAAGACCCAAGATACTCCAAAGAACACCGTATCCAGCCTCCTGTTGCAGCTGCTGGCCCGACTCCACCTGTCCAAGGCTTCAGCGAAACAGTCTGGACGAACAGCCGTAGGTCGTGTGCTCGAAATTCAGTTTCTTGACAACTGTTCGGGGCTGGGCGCTCCCTCATTCCTTCGCTGTGTTCTGCAATCTGACTCTGTGTTGCAGCCTCAGGTTTGTAAAGTCGCGGAAGCGTTATGCTCGGGAGAGCTGGCATGCCCGAAGCCTCCAACACAGTGGCGTGCAATGTCAATGATTTTCAGTTCTAGAACAAGGGCGAAAGGCAGTCGAACTCGGACGATGCTGCTTCCCCTTCGTCTGCTTGATAATCGAAACCACGTTCGAAACATGTTTTGCCTGTTTCACTCTCGTCGTTATACGAATGCCGTGCATATCATCATTCTCGCCGCCACCACCACCACCATCATGCTAGTAGAGATGGCTATCACTGCCATCAGTGTCAAGAGCACCACCACCAGCATCAACAGCAGCCATCATCTTCACCATCACGATGATGGTCGTTCGTTCGTCGTCTGCGTCCTCATCGAGGACTCACCACCACCAGCATCACCATCATGCCCATCATCATCATCATCATCATCTGCCTCACCACTAGCCAGCACCGCCGCTGCAAGCATATTCTGACACCGAGCGCTTGTAAGCTGACGGAACTTCAGCACGGGAAGCTGGGAGCCCAGCTTTTTCACGCAGATCTGTCATGGAAGCCGACACACGCTCCACCTTTGCAGAATGTCTCGCATTGTCCCCGACATTCACCCCCAGCGGCTATGTGTGTGGCAAGGATCCACGATACTCCGAAGAACATCGTATCCAACCTCCTGTTGCAGCTGCTGGCCCGACTCCACCTTTGCAAGGCTTCAGTGAAACGATGAGAACCGTGATGATTCAAGCATGTTTCACTGCACGGGCGGCAACAACTTGGCGACTTGGAAGAAGCACGCAACAACGTGTGACTCCGCAACGCTGTGTAAGTCTTGCATGCGCGAACTGGCCCTGCCATGAAACCACACAAGAATCCTGCAACATCGAGAGTCTCTGCATTGTGTGTCACGAATCGCAACTACACCCCATAGCAGCTGCGGCTTGGCACGGTCACGCCATTATTGTTCATGACTGCAGAAAAACGTCAGCAACCACGACCCTTAGGCGAGTGTTCAGGACGAGCACACATTGTGGATGAAAACAGCATCCCCATCCTGCGCGACTGAAGAGACTCATCTCACATGCATACGGAGCGACTCCTAAATCTGCTAAATCTGCCTCACCCGCGAGTTGCAGGATTCGTCTTTCGGCCTGCAGATAGGAAGCGTTCATCTTGATGCGATAGGCCAGTAGTTGAGATTCCGCACGAAAACTTAGACAAACTCTGCTGTTTTAAAGCATCTGGCAAGGGTTCCCATCCCCGTCTGCCCATGTCCGGCCCATACTGCCCATACTGTCCGAAATGTAAGATGAGCCTGGGATGCACCTGCTGCGACATCTCAGCAAGGGAAGGAATCGAACGCATACAGATCAAAGTCATAAGAGGACAGTCTTCACGTGTGGGAAGGGAAAGAATTATCTTGCTCGATGCCGCAGACGCTGCCGGCCTCGGCCACACGTTGGAGAGCCTCTCCGGCCCTGCGATTGCATTTCGACAGCCGGGCCAGTGTCCCGTGCGACCCGACAAGGGACTGAGGTTGTGCAGAAGAGTGGGTCTTGACAGCGCGCTTGCACACAGCTGAGGTTTATAAATGGACTAAACACTGGCAGAACGTAAAAACCCAACACCCTAAACCCTAAACCCCTGAACGTAAAGCAAAAGCGAGGTAGGCAAAGAAACGCAGGGCCTCGCTTCAACGGCTGCCGTTGAGGCCTCCACCGGTGTGTTGACATGTAGAATGAGGGGACGAAATAACTAAGGAGTACCCTAAGGCGCCGTAGTAGTTCCTTTTTGGGGTTCATTCTTGGAATCTTATGAGGTAATCCCAAAAAGGAACTACTCTGGGGCCTCTGGGTAACGAGTAAGGTCGTCAGGACCTTCCTTATGGCTACAAGCAGCTGCGATTACATGTCTTTGATTTTTTCACCATCGTCACTATAAGTCACATGACCTTTGAGTATCGCCTGCCAGAACCCAGCGGTTAGCAGCTTGCATCACAAATCCATGGACTGTCTTGAGGTACCCAGAGGCCCCATAGTAGTTCCTTTTCGGGATTACCTCATAAGATTCTAAATATGAACCCCAAAGGAACTACTATGGGGCCTCAGGGTACAGACTGGCAAAAGGAACCTCAAAGCTCAAAGCATCCGTCGCTGCACCCTCCAGCAATCGACACTTCACAACACCGCGGGCGAACCTGAGGGGGAAGATCACGTGAGACCTCCGCGACTGGCTGCTGTCCTCAGGAAGATTGAACAAGCTTGGGTAGGGGGCTAATATGAAGGGCCTGATTAATATCTATGTTATGGACTGCTGCTGAGTGGGGCAGTACCCAAGATCAAGCACTTAGCGACCATGGCAGTGCAAAATCGCTGCTGGCTACCCGTGATAAAATGGGAGTTTGCGACGATTAGGGGTACCTTTTTCTAGGGTCCTTCCATAAGGACTCTACTATTCAGGGTACTATATTAGGGTCCCGTTTTTTGGGAAACTCCCAAGTCAGGATACGACTGGCGACGAGTAAAAACTCTTGTTACGATACTTGGCAATGGTGCGACTATCTCGCTCCTGCCGCATCTGCAACTGCACCAGGGGCCACGCTGGCCTGCGTGACCGCGGTGCATCATTGCAGACAGTTTCACTTGGCTAGAGTAGCGGCTCAGAACCCATGGTTTTGGGTTTCGGGTTCTGATCCAAAGTCCGAAACATCGGGCTATAGCAGGCCCTCAGGCGCCTTAACACCTGGGGTGAGATCACAGCGGAGGCCTCAAAGTCGCTGCAGACTGGCTTTAGGCTGCAGGGTTTTGGTCTTACTGTAGGGAGACACCCAGAAGCATCCTGTAGTACCTACCCTAAGGCCCCATAGCAGTTCCTTTTGGGGGTTCATATTGATAAAACTTCTGAGGCAATCCCAAAACGGAACTGCTATGGGGCCTCTGGGTATGGCCCACCCGTACAGCACAGGTGAAGAGCGACCGCAATGCCCGCGCAAGCGCTTGCCAAGCTTAGCACGTGCCTGAAGTTCGTTGACGTTGTCGTCAGCAGCCGCCGTCGCGGGCGTCGCAACTGATTCAACTCACGGGGCTGCTTCGGCTTGGAAGCTTTCAGCATCGCTCTATGCAAAGACAGATTGGCGTGCAGACTCGCCATTTCCGGCGCCGCCTGACGACGGCAAAGTCGCTGGAGCTGCTGCAGCCTGGCCAACGGAGCGATAAACATGAGCAGCGCAAAACACGAAAACAATACAATTAAATTCAAAAGGAAGCAGTCTTTGAAAGGCCTCTGTCGTTGCTTCCGGCCTGTTCCGGTGTGCCAGCCGCCAGCGATAGCAAAATTGCAACCCCAAGCATGTGCTATTCCTTGCATCCGATGTATTCTAGGACCTGAATAATTAGAAAATAATAAGGGGAAGCCTAAACCCTAAATCCTGAACCCTAATATAATCCACCCGAACCGCGACGCCTCCGTTGCGGGCACCGAGTGGGCAGAGATAGCCGCCTGCAGCCTGGATCTGGGCAACGGGGCTCTGGCTGTACTGCATGGGGCCTTAATAGTTAGAATAGGGTTCCTTTAAAGGGGTCCTTAAAGGGCTCTATAAGGGGTAATATAGGGGCCTTAATAATTGGAATAGGGTTTGGGGGCCCATTATACTACAATCATAATAAGGAACCCCAAGGAATGGTATAGGTAATTTTCAAGGCCCCTATACTAGGAACCTGATCAAGAAGCCCGCCTATACCTCTATAAGAATGTTAGGATCCATAAACAGACCCCTAATAAAGACCCAGTGGGTTTAGCGAAAAATGCCAAGTCTTGCTTGGGGCCTTGGGTTTGGGGAGTCCAGAAATCCTAGAGCCCTAGACTTCGAAATCAAATGCACAACATCATCAGAAATTCTTGACAAGTAACATGCGGCTGCAGCTGATGGCCCTCATTCTATGCCTCATAATGACTTATTCGCGAAAGCCCGTCCACCCGTCTCGTAAAAGCGAATCCCAGGAGTTGTCCGGTTCCCCTGACCCTAAACCCTAAATCCTGGACCCTGAATCCTAAAATAGCGGGCCGCGCCCCTGCACGCTCGCCGCCAGGTTCTTCAGCTCCTGGCCAGATGCGGTCAGCTCGTGTCCGCGTTTCTCCGTGCGGCTCTCCGACATGCGACAGGCTCTGTCGCATCAAGCGCCGGGTCTAAGGTTTAATCTGCCGCATCAAGTGCCGGGTCTCTTTAGGACTGCTGACTACTGCGCTGCAGGAACGAGCATCTCAACCTGCATCCTCGCCTCATCATGGTGCGAGAGCGTGGTCGCCAGAGCCGATGCCTGGCTGCAAGAAGCACATCTGACGCAGGACTCTTCTTCCCAGATCTCGGCTAGGGCGGCTAGCTGGGTGGTTGTCAAAATTAGGGTTCCTTTTTGGGTACCATAAATAAAAATACATTTTAATAGATAATAGGGACCCAAAAAGGACCATAATTTGGACAACCGCCCGGCTGAAGAAGCTCCCGACGAACTTCAGGCAGCGTCCACAGGTCCTCAGGAACCTCCAGGGCCCCGACAGCTTCGTTGCCAGCGGAGCCTGCACCGAACACATCGCAAGCTCTGTGCGGGCTACGGTCCTGGCAGCTTATGATTTAATTTAAGTTACCATGATAAAAAACACCATATTATTTACTATAGACGCCTATTATGGTAGTTTAAACTACATTCCTTAACAAGAACCCAGGCTGTGCAACGCTGGCTAGCTCCGTAGCTGATCTCCAGGTCGCCAGCCTCCACTGCCCGCAGTCACTTGAGCCGCCACATTCTCGAAAAACCTGGGTCTGCGTGAAAACAACGGCCGATCACACAAGACTGGAATCGTGAACCTAAAGTCTCTGATAGCTGTTTCCCTTGGCAAGGCCTGGCTCAGGAAAGAGAACTTCTTCAAATTGCAGAGCCCCGTGGCTTCTGCTGCAGCGACTTCATCTCCTGTTCCAGCAGTTTCATCTCCTGCTCCATCCGCTGCGCACGATCGTCCTCGCATCTTGGGGCTGTCGGACAATTTCAGCGCCGTTCCAAACCGTAGACAATAGGAGTTCCTTACGTTGAGGATCCTATTCTTCAGCGTTTCGGGGAGGGTCCCTGATTTCTGAAGCCCTAGGCCTTTGCCCGGGTTGGCTGCAGATGTGTCAGGCAGTGCAGTGGCGATATGGCCGAAGCTTGCCTGATCCGAGGCGAGATTCGTTCCTCTTCCTTGCTCTCTTCACCCCCCAGACCCCAAACCCCAAACCCTTGACCCCGTAAGCCCCAAACCTCTTAATCCCTAAACTCCCTACACCCCCAAACCTAAAACACCTAAACCTGAAACCCTCAACCCTAAGCCTGAAGATGTCAGTCCTGCTGCGCAGCCAAGGCTTGCAGCTCTGCTTGCAGAGCAGGAGCTGGAGCTTCGACTGCAAACCGACGGCTCGCTATGTGGGCTTTAGGGTTTAGGGTTTAGGGCTCCGTAGGGTTTAGGGTTGAGAGCTCAGAAGGGTTTAGGGTTTTTGTGGGCGTCGGGTTTACAGTAGGATTTACGGCCACGGGCTTACTGCTGCAAGGGCAGTCTTACAAAGCGGAAGGACGACGATTAAGATCGGACCCCAGTAGCGGATAATATAACGACATTGCATAGTTCTGCAGCTGTTCCTCCATGCAGCACGATAACCATAATGTTAATAATATCGAAATCAGTTCATCATTATCATGAAAACGAAGAATGAGAGTGCAGACTTGCTTCAGGTCCTCGGCACTCACGCGGACGTCAGCCGCAAACAAGGAACACACATTTGGGCTTCGCTGGAACGTCGCGAACAAAGCATAAAGGCACTGCAGCCTGTGTGAAGTGCCTACGCCCAGTAAAATCCTTTCTTCGAACACCCCTTTCATTTTACTGCTCCTGTTATCAGAGAAGAAAACCTCGGCAGAATCTGGGACGGCATGAGATATGGCGTAGAAGAGCACGCTTTACGCATCCGGTACAGGACCGCACGAAGTCTGGCCGTGTCAGAACGCAGAACCCAGTACCAGACAACATGGGAGCTCCAGGAAACAAGGGCTTGATAGCAGATTCCTTACGAATCCCCAGAAACGGCACCCCTAATCTTCAGGACCACCATGTATCCAAATCTCGCTAAATGGGAGTTTCCGAAAATAGGGTACCCTAATATAGTACCCTAAATAGTAGCTAAGTTTCGGAAACTCCCAACTGAGGAGTTCGGAACGCGCCTGAAGAAACTGCTTGATCGCGATCCTGGTCATGATCAGGAGGCGACCCGGCGCTGGAAGGAAGGACCTGCAACGCCCAGGCTCTAAAGTTTAGGAGTTTAGGCTTTATAATGCAATGGGCCTTTTCTAAAGTTTAGGAGTTCAGGCTTTAGGGCTTAGGTTCTAGAGTTTCTGGTGTAGGGCTTGGCTTTGCAGTTTACGGTTCAGGGTTGAGTTGGGGGCTTGCAGTTCACGGCTTAGCCTTGAAGAGACTGTGAGTTAGGAACCAATCAGAAAGTTCCTCACGGCGTCTCAGCGGCTTGAAGCACACGACTCTGCCGCAAAATCGATGGCATTGTCTACGGCTTGGCTCATGATAGTATCATGGGCCCCAAAACCCTATTCTAATTATTAAGGTCCCTACATTAGGGGTTCAGGGTTCAGGGGCCTTCGGCACTGCCTTGAAACTGTTAACCATTTGCTGAAACTGGGCTGTCCTTGGAGGATTTCACGTCTTCTGGCAATGCTGCTGCTCCGGGGTACCCCTGGCTTGGAAACGGCTTTTGCGCCGGCCTTGGGCCAGCAGCTTGCCGGATCTGGTTATAGGGTTTCGGGTTGCGGGTCTGGGGTTTATAATATACTTTACTATAGTATACTATACTATAATATACTATACTATAATATGCTGTGATATACCAGCATTATACTATACGGATATGTACTTAGGGTGCCCTTCGCCGCCGGTCTGCATGCACCATGCGGACTTGAAACACGAAAAAGCAGCTGTCAGCTGTCGGCAGAGCAGAAGCTGTCACCTGCGAGTTTCGATTATATATTGGGGATTCCTGACATAGGCCTTCAATGCTCGGCGCCTTACGGGCAAGGACCAGTTATAAGAAAGAGACTCGCCCCATGTCGATAAAGCCCTAACTCTAAACCCTAAACCCCTAACCCTAAACCCTAGACCCTAAACCCCTAACCCTAAACCCTAAATCCCTAACCCTAAACACTAAACCCCTAAACCCTAAACCCTAAACAGCCTAAACCCCTAAACCCCAAGCCAGAGCCTGCTCAGTCTCGGCGTGGCTTTGTGTCACATCTTCTGCGGCCGCAGGACCGGCGCCTTGCAACTCTCTTGCCGCGCAGGCTTTAAGGCTTAGGGCCTATGGTTCAGGGTTTACGGTTTAGGAGGTTTAGCGGTTTAGGGGTTTAAGGGTTTAGGAATTAGGGTTTAGGAGGTTTAGGGGTTTAGGGTTTAAGGGTTTAAGGGTGTAGGGTTTAGGGTTCACGGTTTACGGTTTAGAGTAGAGCTTTGCTGCTGAGGGCACCAGAAGATGCACTTCAAGCAGCCTCGAATACGAACCCCGCTTTAGACGAGTCAACGCAGTGGAGCCTTGGCAATCAGAATAGGATCTTGGGACATATTAGAGGGGTACCTTTAAAGGGATCCATAAGGGTTCCTTAAAGAGATCTATGAGGGTTCTATAAAGGGTTTAGGGTTTAGAGTTTCCGAAAATTAGGGGTACCTTATTTTGGGAGTCCTTGTAATAGGGATCCAACTATTTAGGGTACTATATTAGGGTCCCCTATTTCCGGAAAGTCCCATATGATTCATTGACGAATTCTATCTGCGCGGAAAGGGAGTGTCAATACGTTGTTGTCAAAAACCCCTCCTAGGGCCAAAGCAAACCTCAAATTATTCAGACCCTGCGTAGCTGTGAACCCTAGACCAGCAAAAACACTAAAACCCCAGGAAGACCCTTGGCAAAAAGACGGTTTACTGAGTTTACTGGCTTAGGGTTTCGGGTTGTGGGTCTCAGGTGTCGGTTTGTGGGTTATGCGTAGACACGGAGTAGTAGGATCCCTATTCTATGGGAGCTTCGGAAGAAAGGGCGTCCGAACATAGACACTGATTCGTAGGGAGCAAATAGAGGTTCCTGATATAGTAGACACTCACTAGCAGGATCCTTATTGTAGTGTCCCTAGCCACTCCACCAACGCCCAGCCCAAAAATCGCGATCGCCGCTATAAGGAGCCTGAAATCACACAAACATAACCTGTCATTTTCGAGTCAGAGGTAAAAGTACAACAACATGCCCCAAAACACTGTAACAACTCGCAAGGCCCCTAATTACCAAGGCTCATTGTAAGATTGTTTTGGGAGGGAAGGGGGGAGTTCTCCTGTAGAGTTTTGGACCGATGCTCCGGTGTGAGTGGGGCCGGCGTGCTTGAGGCCATGCGTGTGTGCCAGGTGGTCCTTAGAACCCTAGCATTGGGAGAACCTTCTATACTGTCAACACTCACAAGAATAAGTAATCAGGTGCTTTGGGACAACAAGTGGAATGTGTAGAGGGGTTGTTGTGGTCGCTTGTTGCTTGGTCGACAGGTTTGTTGGTTGTTAGGTGTGAGTCCTTCAGTTCCAGCTGTGTGCCGAAACTGCTGATGTCAAACTGGTGTTGTACTACTATGTCGTACTGGTGTTGTACTGCTAATAATGATACGCATAGTAATAACGAAAGTAACAGTAATAACATAATAGCAAACATAACAACAATAATAGAAATAGTATTAGCAATCCTAAAAATCATAACACCAGTCATGCCAATAACATTAGTAATAACGATCACAATAAAAAATGGAAATAACAATCATCGTTATTATTCATGACAACCATAACACATAACCAAAATCATGTCTGCTCAGTCTTTGCTTCATGCTCAGACTGCCTGTCGCACACCGGATGCTTGCCCTTCCTACTGTGAAGGGCGCGCAGAGAGTTGAGGGCTTAAGGAGGGTTGGGGGTTTGGGTTTAAGGTCTAGGGGTTTAGGGTTTAGGGGCGTTTAGGGTTTAAGGTTTCGGGGGGTTGGCACCTGAAGAGAGTTAGCACCCTGAGGTCGGAACTCGAGTCCTCTGCCACAACTGGTCCTTTCCCCGCTGCATCTTCCGCCTGCGAAGTCGTGGCTTCCGGACAGCCCAGAGAGCCAAATACTATATAGGGGCCTTAACAATGAGAATAGGGTTTTGGGGCATAGTATGCTGTAACTCGATTAAGGAACCCAGGAATGATTTTGGTAACTGTGAGGCTCCTATATTACCCGGTCTTTCGCCCCCTCGTGTATGTGCACAGACGGCTGGGCTTGTCCACCAGGCATTCCCCAACGCTCTCGGGAGTTTCAGGAAATATCCGACTCTAGTCTAGAGCCCAAGTGGGTTGGCAGGATCTTTGCTGTAAGTACCCTCCCTCCCACATAAGGTGCCCTAGTTTTCTGAAGGTCCACTTACCCTAACCTGCTTCTTCCTCGGTTTCGCCGGTGCTTTCGCCTTGTCCACTTGTCCTACTTAAAGGTTCATGGGACTTAGTAACTATGGTTGTAAATAAGGCAACTAGACTTATAATTGGATATAACCCCAGCTAGGGTACTTATAACTGTACTTAATAAGTCCCATTAACCCCAAGTACCTTGGCTGCCCGTTTTGCCATGTTGCTTCGGGGTGTGTGCTTCCTTGGATCATGGAAGAATCCTTGGTTAGCGTGGCTTAAAGCCCCCTATCCGTGGCCATTTAAGGAGTATTGGGCTCTCGGTGAACATTAAGACACAGAACAGGTAGTTGAACAACTAAAGGCCCTCAGTCATCGTCCTACAGAGTTCAGCGTTTAATCGTCCACCGGTCTTTGACAAAGAGTATACAGAGCTCCAGCAGAAATCTGCATTGAAGTCCAAGGCCGAAAGCAGTATCAATCAAGACACAACTTCAAGCCCCTAAAACCTAAACCCTGACACCCAAACCCTAAACCCATGAAGCCCTCACGACAGACTGAGCCCCAAAGTCCAACATCTGCCCCCAGAGAGCCTAACACTCCGTAAATGACGAAAATGCGCTGTATCACATCAAGCAAACCTGTTGGGATTTTATACTTGGAGGATCATGGGACTTAGTAAGTACAGTTGTAAGTACCCTAACTGGGGTTATATCCAATTGTAAGTATAGTTACCTTATTTATAACCATAGTTACAAAGTCCCATGAACCTTTAAGTAGGGGTTATAATACCTCAAACAGGTCAAAGGTTACCTCGGTTGAACAAGGGGTATTGAGCCCTCTGTGGCTCGGTGAAATTCTGCCCACTTGGAGGATCATGGGACGTAGTAAGTAGGGTTATAAGTGCCCTAATTGGGGTTATAAGTAATTATAACTGTAATTACTTTACTTATAACCCTACTTACTAAGTCCCATGAACCTTCAAGCATGTGCAGGGGCCTTCAGCGACTTTAGGATGTCCTCCTTGCAGCACGCGGGACGTTCGCAAACTAGAGACCCTAAACCCTAAACTTCCTAAACCCTAAACCGGGATTTAGGGTTTAGGGTTTCCTAACTGACTACCGTAAGGGCACTACTCTTGATGAGAATAAAAAGACTAATGACCAAAATAATGAGGATAGGGTTCGGGTTTATGTGTACGTACAGGAGCCGGCATTGGTACTAAGCGGCTGAGCACATCAGTTGGGTGGGTTCTACTTTTCTACATCCATCAATGAATGGGTGCTCTATTCGATTATAGTACCCTAAATAGTAGGATCCCTATTATAAGGACCCCAAAGTAAGGTACCCCTAATTTTCGGAAACTCCCATTTGGGGGATCCGTACAAAAAGGATCTGATGAACTTACTACAGGGGCCTTAACAATTACCTACACTATTTTGCGGGTTCCTTATTATGATGATTATGGTACAAAGGGGTCCCAAAACCCTGTTCCAATTATTCAGGCCCCTATATTAGACCCGGTGATGGCCTGGCTCTTGCGCAGCCTCTCCAAACGCTCCGCGAAGCTGCTCACCTGACATATGGGAGTTTCCGAAACTCAGGGGTACCTTTAAAGGGATCCATAAGGGTTCCTTAAAGGGATCTACAAGGGTTCTATAAAGGGTTTAGGGTTTAGAGTTTCCGAAAATTAGGGGTACCTTATTTGGGGGTCCATTTAATAAGGATCGTCCCTATTTTCGGAAACTCGCATATGAATCGGGTTTCTTCTTGAAGGCCTACTCCGTCGCATAATCTACGCTCCACAGAGCCGCCTATTGACGACACGCAAAGGGTTTAGTTAGGCCTTCAGGTGTTTTGGGGGTTTAGGCTTTGGGTGTTTGGGCGGATCTGCAGGACTCCTGACTGCACCCTGCGCGCCTAATATACAGGCATTTGTGTGTGGGTGTGTGCGTGTGTAAATATACATGTGTATATATATATATATATATATATATATACATATACATATACATATACACATATACGGATGTGCGTACGTATACACGTATGTGTGTGTGTGTGTACGTGTGAGAGTCTGTGTGTGTGTGTACATGTACATGTACATGTACATACATACATGCATACATACACACATACATACATACATACATACATACAGTAACATACATACATACATCTTTTCTTCTTCCATCCATCCATCCATCCATCCATCCATACATACAATACATATATACATATACATATACATATATATATATATATATGTATATGCATCTGCGTCCCCAGATAACTTGTGGAACTTGAAAAAACACCAGGCTCGTTGCCAGAATAGAATGATTTTACAAAAGTATTGAGCAACTTCAGCATGCTGGTGCACGACAGAGTTTCCCTCGATGATCTGTACCCACAGGCGTATACATATATATATATATATACGTATGATTGCACATGTCAATGTGTGTATGCATATAACCAAACAGAAGAGAGCGAGCGAGAGAGCGAGCGAGAGAGCGAGCGAGAGAGCGAGCAAGAGAGAGAGAGAGAGAGAGAGAGAGAGAGAGAGAGAGAGAGAGAAGGACGTACGTGCACACATACGTACATACATACATACATTACATAACGCTACATTACATACCTACATACCTACATACCTACAGTCCTCCCTGTCTACACACATACATACATATGCATATACATATATACACATGTATGAAGACCGCGTAGAACGGAAGGGCGACACAGAAAGAGAGAGAGAGAGAGAGAGAGAGAGAGAGAGAGAGACAGAACCAGTGAGAGCAAGAGTGACGGAAGGAGCGCCGCAAACTTGCGGTGTTCCATGTGCCTCCTCGGCCAGTTTCAGGACCCGCTTCTCTGCCTCTGCCGCTGCCAGAAGCGTGGTTGGGCGGGTGGACGGGTGAGCTGGTGAGACTAGGTGAAAGAGAATGTTTGAGAGTGAGAAAATGAATGAGTAAGAGAAACAGTGAGACGAGGGAATGAGTGAGGGAGGGAGGAGGGAGGGAGGGAGGGAAGGAAACAGACGTTGGGCGATCAGGCTGTTTGGGCAAGCTTTGAACGAGCTACCTCATCTATGTCCCGAGATGAACATCCACAGAAAGCAACAACAAGCCATTGAGCATTTGGTCAACGCAGAGAAGCATGGTGCAACGATAGACACTCATAAGTCAATACATCAAAAACACCTCGACTTCTACTGTAATGTCGCAACCGACGTCCCGGAACCTGGCGTGACGAATACCTGACCTTTGGTTAGTCGGGAATGGGGTACAATTATAACTATTACTACCATTCTTCCATTCCCTACTAACCAAAGGTAAGCTCCGGGCCTCTGCCGCACGTTGGAGAGCCTCGCCGGCCCTGCGGCCCCACCCGGTGCGTTAAACTCCCACCCGATTTTAGGAGTTTCCGAACATAGGGGAACCTAATCTAGTAACCTAAATGGTAGGATCCTTATTATAAGGACCCCAAAATAAGGTACCCCTAATTCTCGGAAACTCCCATTTATCCGCTCCTGCATGCAAGCGAGATTGCGAGAATTTTCGGGCGGCTGGCAAGGCTGAGACCTAAGGATGTATGCTTATGATTTTTCTGACTCTCTAGACCCAAGAGTAACCTAGGAATAAAAAGGGTGCCCTTTTTGGGTTAAAGGGGCTTATAAGGGAACCTGAACCCTAAAATAAGGGAATAAGGGCCTACTCTAGGTCCTAGCTCTTGTTAGGAATATAATCACTACTCCTACAAACAACCAGTGACGATGATATGAAATGTTATGGTCTATCAAAAGACTCGTTTTTTGGGGGGAGTGCTACAGGTAAGGGATTCTGGCCTCCAGCAAAAACCATGCAAAACTCCTCTTGTTGCCGAGAGAGTGTAAAGTCTAGGTTTTGCTGTAGGGTTTCGAGTTTAGAGTTCGTGTGTCTGGTTCAGGGTGTGCGAAGCGTATTTGACGCAAACCCCTTCTGGAAATGCGCACTTGTCACGGACATTGCAAAGTATCACTCCCGCGTGTGCCTCGCGTCGCTGTCAGCTGTTGAGACCTTCATCGTGCACTGCTGGGAATCTCTGGAACTATTCGTGGGGCTTACTATTAATGCTGCTATTACTACTATAGTAGTATAACTATTCTCGCAAATATTACTATTATTACTGTGATTACTATGACTACTATGATTACTATGAAAAACTATGATTGCTATGATTAGCATTTAATCTTTCTACGATTACTGCTACTACCGCAATCAAAATTATCACCATTACTACGATTTACGATTAAAAACTATTATTACTATTACTATTATTCCTATTATTGCTATTATCACTGTTGCTACTATTATCACTCTTATTACAATTATTACGATTGCTACTCTTCTATCAGTATTGTTACTCTGACTACTAGTATTACTACTATTCCTATTCTTACTATGATTATAAACAGTATTATGTCAGAAAGCCACCGCACGATCGGCCCAGCGTGCCAAGCTCAGGAGTGAACCAAAGTTCTTCGAAAGGCACAAGAGAACAAGCAGGCCCAGTGTAGGGGCCTTATCAATTCGAATAGCGTTCTGGTGATACTACAATCATGATAAGGAACCTCCAAAATTAGTGTACGTAATCATCAACGCCCCTATATTGGACTTATGCTCAACTTCCCAGCCTGTGCCCGAGGATCGCTTGCACCCTCTGCAGCCGTCAGTGGTCCTGGAAAGCTTAGGGTTTAGGGTGTTTGGGTTTAGGATTTAGGGACTTTTTTTGAGCTCCTTTTCTTCAAGCCCGAAGGTCCGAAGAGATTTTAGGGTTTTGGGTTTTGGGTTTTGGATTTTTGCTTTAGGGTTTAGGGTTTTGGGTAGATGAACATGCAAACATACACTATTTCTATACAGCACTTGCTTGCACAGCATGGACTCTTCAAGGCAGACAAGCCTGTCACTTCACAATGGAACGATTACGAGTGAAACCAGAACGACTCTAAGACAAGGCTGCGACCGCGGCTCATGGCAAAAAACAGACCATCTCAGACAAACAAAACATCCCTGAAAAAAGTAAACGGAGCCCTCGACAGAATCCCGCGGTCCCGTTTCGTCGTTCGTGCCCGGTGACGGCGCAGCGGGTACTGGCTGCGCCTTCAGACTCCAACACTGTATACTCTATGCTTTATATTAGATATTTCAGATTATATGGGTAGTTGTCAAAAGTATGGCCCCTTTCTGGGTACCCTAAATATTATTGGTGCCGCATTATAATAGGGAGACCATACATTTGACAACCACCCATATAGTGCCTGGAACAGATTGCTCCAAGATCTCAGGCGCTACAGTAGCAAGCTCTGACTCAACGCAGCTTTTCTCCAAGCTGTGCTTATTCCGAAGTTTGTGCGGCCAGAAGGGGGTGAACCAACTCAATCTTACTCCTGCGAGCTAGGCTTTGGGCCCGGTGCACATGCGTTTGCTGAGACTATCATCCCTAAGTTTTCGCCGAGAAGCGGCCGAAGTGGCATGCCCTGCCCAACTCACCATCGAGGCAGGCACTGTTCACGTCTCATGCACAGGCGGTACAGACTGCTCACGAAGCTTTAAACCAGGAGCTGTCAGTTCGAACGCCGACAGTTCTCAGCTCGACATCCTTGCCATCGGGGATCATCGGGGGAGGGTGAACTCGATCTTACACCTTGAGCTTGGCTTTGGCAAACTTTGGGCAAGGAAGGGATCTTCGGTGCAGGCAGTACGGGCGACCCTGGCAGCTTTAAACGATGTGCCGTCCCGCGGACAGCTCTCGGCTCGGCATTGCCGATCGACTGTCGGTCGAAGAGCTATTACTGAACTACTGTGTCCTTCATGATGTGCGTGGGTCAGACGCCTGTGAAGAACACCGCATTTCAACACCTCTCCAGCCAAGAACTACGTCTCCTTTTTCGTTAAAGCTTCGCGTTGAAATGCCTGACTTCCCTTCCGCCAGCATGCCTGGTTCACAGCAACAGGACTGGCGTGAAACACTTCCAACTGGCAGGCCATTGAACGACTCCCATCGGCATTGACCCATCGTAGCCGGGACGCGCAGGGCCAGTGCCAGCAGAAAACACTTGGGTAATAATGGGTAATAGAGGGGCCTTAATAATTAGAATAGGGTTTTGGGGCCAAGTAAACTATAGCCATAATAAGGACCCCCCAAAACAGTGGGCCGCTACAGTAGCATGGTTGTAACAGGTGAAACTCTCTGGGTTGTGCAAGCACATCAGTGAGATGATAGGAGGAGGTGCGGGCAACCCCGCTTGTGGGATCTTCCGAGTAAAAAGCAACGAGTTGCCGTGTGAGAGCTAGGGGCTACTTCGAGATTTGACATATAATAGCTTATACCTTGGGGTCCTTATTAAGAGTCCCTTGTCAGCCTCTCCCTCATCTGATGCTGCACTGCGGAACGCAATTCTCGAAGACGAGACTTGCTTCTGGAATCAGGAAACTGAATATTCTCGGCAGAGCGATCTAGAGCGATAGCGGTCGCCCTTTCAGGAACGCCTCCAGCTCAGGCCAATCTTTCAAAGTACTGGCTGCTGGCCGACCATGGACTTCATCTGCGGCTACTGCCGCCTGGGCCCCCATGTCTGCCTGGGCTGTCAGGTAGCATGTCAGCAGGCTGCGTGCAAAAATACTCTTACGAGCCCAGCGCTGCAGGTCATTATGAGCCCTGTCCGGCGAACTCTCTCGACTTTGCAAGAGATGCAGCATGTTCTTCTTCAGGCGCATGCGAATCATTTTGCCCGGCCTCCGTGGGCTGATTTCCAAGGTCTGCTTGTGAATGTGACAGAACGGACAGCGATCCCTGTAACACCCAGCAGAAGTTGCAAAGAAGATACAGGGATCGCAGAAGCCCAGAAGGTGTGGCATCGCAGGACCCTCTTCCAAGGAAGCCTGAGACTGGTCGTCTCCCAAACGGGTTTCTCTGTCCGATGACGAAGACGCCATCATGGAATATCATTAAAGGCCCTTTGCAGAAAATGGAACCAAGATGCTGCGGCACTAACAGCATGCTGAGATATGCCGAGATGTCTCGTGGAGGCTCATGCCGTGGGTGATATATGATGGATTAAACAGTATATATGTTATACATCATACATTATACATTATATGTGGGATATATGTGAAAAGTTTTGCAATATGTGTATGTGTATATATAAATATATACATATATATATATATATATATATATATATATATCACATTATATATATATATATATATATATATATATATATATATATACTTCTACCATTCCCGGGCGCCAGACTCAGACCTCGAAACTCAACCTCTGAGCTTACTGCTTTGGAGCTCCAGGGCCCTGAAGGAGCCTCAATAATTAGAATAGGGTTTTGGGGCCCATTATAGTTAGAATAGGGTTCCTTTAAGGGTGTCTATATAAGGGCTACTATAAGGTGTCTGTAAGGGATCTATCATAATGTAGGGGGCCTTAATAATTAGAATAGGGTTTTGGGGCCCATTATAGTTAGAATAGGGTTCTTTTAAGGGGGTCTATATAAGGGCTACTATAAGGGGTCTATAAGGGATCTATCATAATGTAGGGGGCCTTAATAATTAGAATAGGGTTTTGGGGCCCATTATAGTTAGAATAGGGTTCCTTTAACGAGGTTTATATAAGGGCTACTATAAGGGGCCTTAATAATTAGAATAAGGTTTTGGGGCCCATTATAGTTAGAATAGGGTTCCTTTAAGGGTGTCTATATAAGGGCTACTATAAGGGGTCTCGAAGGGATCTATCATAAAGTAGGGGCCTTAAAAATTAAAATAGGGTTTTGGGGCCCAGTATACTCTAGGAAAAAACAAGGAACCCCACAATAGTATAGGTATTTATTTAGGCCCCTAGATTAGAGCACAGGGCCTTCACCCTATACCCTAAAGCCTAATGGGAGTTTCCGAAACTTAGGGGCACGTTTAAAGGGCTCCATTAAGGGTTCCTTGAAGGGATCTATCAGGGTTCTATAAAGGATTTAGGGTTTAGAGTTTCCGAAAATTAGGGGTACCTTATTTGGAGGTCCCCTGAATTAGGATCCTACTATTTAGGGTACTAGATTGGGGTCCCCTATTTTCGGAAACTCCCTACTAGTGCATGCTCAAGAGCAACTGGAGATTCCGGATCGCTCTGATGAAATCCATCAAAACCGGGAAGAGTCCTAAACCCTAAACCCTAACCACGAAACCCTCGAGCCGACAAACCCAATACCCTGGTGCTTTCAATCATGGCACAAAACACGTTCCAAAGCCCTAAAACCCAATACCCAAAATCCTAAAAACCTGGAGTAACCCTTGGGGCAAACCCCTAGAGTAGCCCATAAACCCTAAACCCTAAAACCCAAACTCCCTCCGATTGCACCGGATTTCATCGAATCCAGCACCCCGAACTCCTTCGGACCCAACAGCTGCTGCCTCGAACCGCCGTTGCAGCGAATCGAGCCGAGCCTGACACGTCGTGCTGGCTCTGTGGAAATGAACGTGATACGGGTTCAGGACGTGCGGTTCTGATCCTGAAAGCACTGGTTATTCATGATTGAGAATAATGCGATTTTATTGGGTGCCAACTCTGACATCTTCTGACAGACCGAACATGGACTATTCGAAGCCAAACCTTTCCCGCACTGTGCAGATGCCTGAAGTGCTTTGACATCGGCATCAGCAGCAGCCGTCGCAGGAGTCACTGGATGGTGTCGGTTTGGGAGCTTCGAGAGACGTCGGGCTTTGACTAGCAGCATCTCCCCATGCCGAGTTGGGACTAGAAACTGCATCTGCGCAAGTTTCGTTCCTCCGGTCGCAGCACTTTGCAAGCCCAGTGTGAAAATCGGACATGGCAAGACTGGCCGCCACGATCAAGGTCCGCCAACCTCGAACTACTGCCGCAACCCTCAACCCCAACAAAAGGGGCCGTAACAATTAGAATAGGGTCTCGGGGCCCATTTTTTTATAATTAACAGAAGGAACCGCCAAAATAGTATAGGTACTTGCTACGGCCCCTTTATACGGCTAGGAAGCACCTGATGACGAGGTGGCTGGAGCTGCTAAAGCTGCTGCAGCCTGGCCAGCGGAGGCCATGGACATGAGCAGAGCAAAACTAGTAATAAATAAGAAGAATAGCAAGAATAATAATAATAGTGAGACTAATAATGAGACTAATAACAAGAATAAGAATTGTAATATGAATAATAGTATGAATACCAATATGAATAGTCAAGAATTGCAATAATGGTGCAAAGAGAATGAAAGGCCTTTGCTGTTGGTTCAGGCCGCTTGCCTGTTTACAGCGACCAGAAGAGGACTGCACTGCCGATCTCTTCTCGCAATCCCAAACCGATGCACCTCCCTAAACCCTAAACATGCGCCTCTCCTCTGCCGAGGCGCCGAGTGCCTCTCGTATCAGCGGAAACCCTGAACAAAACCCTAAACTCCCCAAATCCTAAACCCTAAGCTCCCTAAACCCTAAACCATAAAGCCTAAACTCCCTAAACCCTAAACAAAACCCTAAACCCTAAACCATAAACCCTAAGCCCTAAACTCCGAATCCTCCTCCCGCCCGCGCCTCTCCGGCGGGCGCCGTGCGTGCGACGGTCGCCTGCAGCCTGGCAAAGCGAGGCCGAAACTCGAAGAGTTGTTAATAGTCTTACTACGGTTGATGATATAAATCCTGCATGACCCTAAGGACCCTAAACTATGGGGATTATGGTATATTCCTTATTATGGGTAATGCAGGATTTATATCATCAACCGTAGTACTAGTAGTAGTACTTCTAATAGTGCTATTAGTAGTGTTATGAGTAGTACTACTACATAGTAGTACTATACTAGATAGACTTGTGCATTGCTATGACTAGTATTCCTACTCTTACTATCACTATTACTGTTACTAATTATGACGGTTACTGTAACTAGTATTGCTGCTAGTATTATGATTGCTATTACTATTACTATTACGATGACTATGACTGTGACTATGGCTATGACTATGACTATTGGTATTGCTAGTGCCAGTGCTATTGACTATTACTATACCAAAGTTCGGACGTTTGCGGATGAGCACCAAGTTGGGTCCCACCAGAACCGGGTTTCCCAACTTCGCTGATGACATTCCTAGACCTGTAGGCCTAATGTAAGGGCCTTAATGATTGGAATAGGGTTTTGGGGCCCGCTATACTATAATTATAATCAAGAACCCCCAAAATAGTTTAGGTAATTATTTAGGCCCCTATAGTAGGTTCACATTCTCAACGGACGGCATCGGACTTCAGCACGCGCAACTTCGGTTTTTCGAATCAACTGCGCCTATTTCAGATGGTGCCTGAGTCGAAACCCTACATATCGGTCACATGGTTTCATGTCTTAGGGAAAGCACCCCAGGTGCACGGTGCACACGACCTTCGCCGCTGACTGGCGCATGTGTGGCCCCCAACCTAGTTTGCCCTGGGGCCAACTTGCCAACGCGCTGGCAGCTTGATTTCATCATCTAATCATCCCTCCTCAAGAATATACCCCGAAGCTCGATTCTGAATATCAACATGCTTGTTAAATTAGAAACTGGAAACCCCAAACCCCAAATCCCAAACCCTGAACCACACAAGAGACGGCGGCGCCCCTGCACGCTCGCCGCCAAGTTCTTCAGCTCCTGGCCAGGTGCGGCTCGTGTCGCCGTGTCTCCATCTTTCTGCATCTGTCTGGGTCAGACAAGGCTTAAGGCTTAGGGGCTTGGCGTCTTTTTTGAGCTCATGGTTACCACTTGTCATGCTGTCTGATCAACGGCAAGGCCACATAGGCTTAGGGATTTTAAGAGGACTTAAGGGTCTTGCTAGGACTACACTATTTTGTCGGCGAAACGGTAAACTGGCTCGATCCTCGCCTCATCATGGTGCGAGAGGGTGGTCGCCAAGGCCGACGCCTGGCAGCAACAAGCACGTCTGACGCAGCGCAAGCTCAGCCGCGATCTCGGCTAAGGAAGCTCCAGGCGAATGTCAAGCAGCGTCCACGGCTCCTTAATATAGAGACCTTGATAATAAGAGTAGGGTTTCTTGGGGTATACTATACTACACTTAAGGAACCCCAAAAATTCCATAGGTAATTATTGAGGCCCCATTCGGAAACTCCAGGGCCCGGACAGCTTCGTTGCCAGCGGAGCCTGCGCCAAAAACAGTCCCAGTTAGGGTTTAGGGTTTAGGAATCAGGGTTTAGGGCTTGGGGTTTAGGGTTTAGGGTTTAAAGTTTAGGGTTTAGGTAAGATGTGTCCTCAGTCGGGCTTGGGTCATGGTAGAACTCTGATTATGCACGAGCTTGCAAGAATACGGCGTCCCGATATCTACATCACTAGCGGTGGCAGCCATAACTGATGGATGTACTTGCAGGCTTCTGCAAGCGCAGGGTGCACGACATTAGCCCCGTACCTGCCCAACAAGCACCGAGCCTCCACTCGCTGCAGTCGCCTGAGCTGCCGCATTCTCGAAAAACCTGGGTGGCAAAAAAAGGCAGGCGAACACCCGAAACTCGAACTGTGAACACCTCGCACTCCGAAGTTGACGCTACCGGTCTTTTGCCGGAGCCGCAACGTTCGGAGAACAGTCATCTTGCCTGAACCCTCACTTCTGATCCCTTAACCCTAAATATAATTGGCTCTCAACTCTGAACCCTAAAACCCCAAACCTCAAGAGACCAACAAAGGCTCTGGCTTCTGTTGCAGCAGTTTCATCTCCTGCTCGAGTCGCAGCGCACGGTCATCCTCGCATGTTGCGACTCGGGGCCACTTGCTTTAGGGGTTTTGGGGTTTGGGGTTTAGTATAGGGGCCTTAACAACTAGATTAGGGTTTCTTTAAAAGGGTTCCTTTAAGGGTTCCTTTAAGAGCCCCTTTGAGGGCTCCTTTAACGGCTCCTTTAGCGGCTCCTTTAAGGGCTAGTTTAAGGGCTCCTTAATCAGGGTCCCAGTGGCTAGAACAGGGCTTGGGGATAGATTCTAGTGTATGAGATATGCTGTACTTATACTACATGTCCCGAATCTGAAAATAATACATTGTGCCCTCTATACTGTACCTCTATCATATGTACGTCTAAGTGTCATGGGAACCCTAAGAGAACGGCAAATAGCAGCTTGAGGGTTGGAGGTGCAGTGCATTCGGGGGGAGGGGATGAGGTTTGGGGGGGAGGGGGGCTGAGCTTAGAGGTTTAAGGGGTGTCGGGCTGGACAGGGGTTTGGGGGTTAAGGCGTGCAGAGGTTTGGGCCTGGGATTTGGGATCTGCACCGTACTGACTTTCATGCTTCGGTCCTGTTGCGCTGCATGGGCTTGCAGCTTCGTGTGCAGCGCGGAGACTGCCCAGGCACAGCGACAGTGTGGTTTCATAAAGCAGGCGGGCCCTCATGCACAGCCCTGACGAGCAGGAGTTTCAATGCGAGAAACCACATATGAGGTCTCAGTACTGGAGCACGTCTAGTTCAGTAGGGTTTAAGGCTTCAGGTTCAAGGATACTTACTTCCTCCGGCCTGCGATGGATCCCAAGTCAGACCCGACGTGGGAGTTTCCGAAAATAGGGGACCCTAATATAGCACCCTAAATAGCATGATCGGAAACTCCCGAAGTGGACGAAAACTGATCCTAAGAGCCCCTGAGCAGGGACCCTCATCTTCTGTCAGAGGTCTGAGTCGGACTCTGGATCTGCCCTCTGGTCGCTTTGAAGGGGACCAGAAGGGTTACTCTAAGGGTACCATGATAGGGCTTTGAGGTATATGATAGGGTTTTGAGGTATATGATAGGGTTTTGAGGTATATGATTGGGTTTTGAGGTATATGATAGGGTTTTGAGGTATATGATTGGGTTTTGAGGTATATGATAGGGTTTTGAGGTATATGTTACTATAGTTCCAATAAGGAACCCTCAGAAACCCCCTGGCCAGCTCGGGGGTCGTGGGAGCGGCTTCATTCACTTTCTATCAGCTTCTGTTCTGCAGGCGGCAACAGAAGAAGATGGCTGCAAAGATCTTTGACCTTTCTTCGACTGCGATCGCTTAAGAGCCACACATATCCCGTCGTGACCGCCGCAAGTCGACATTCCCGAAATGCGAGAACCAGCCATGACCATGAGGCATAAGAGTTTCAGAGACGCACCTTCCAGTAGGTTCCATACTAAACCATGTATCATCCTTACTCACTCGAAGCCCCCAGTGCCTAAACCCTACACCCCGAACTCCGAACCTCGAAGAACCATACTGAACTTAGAACCCTAGCAAAAATTGTAGTTTTAGCTGTTTCTTGGGGATTATAATAACCAAAAATTAAAAAAAAAAAAAAAAAACTATTTCTAAGTACCCCCAAGAGCAGGGGAGTTTCAGAAAGCAAACGCCACCTTGCGACGATGTGCTGTCGCGCTTCGGCGAGGAGGGAGCCGACGGAGCCTCCCGGCACGAAGCAAAGGCATGTGGGGGTTTCCGAAAATAGGGGACATTAATCTAGCAGAGCTGAGGGCTTCGGGTTGAAGACTCCAGGGTTTAGGGTTTAGGGATTTGGGGTTTAGGGTTTAAGGTTTAGGGGTTTAGGGTATGTAGGGATTTCCGAAAATAGGAGACTCTTTAAGGGCTCCTTTAAGGGATCTACAAGGGTTCTATTAATGGTTTAGGGGAGTTTCCGAAAATAGGGGACCCTAATCTAGTACCCTGAATAATAGGATCCTTATTATAAGGGCCCCAAAATCAGGTACCCCTGTTTTCGGAAACTCCCATGTAGGATTGAGAGTGTTGGAAGGATTTTGGGCGTAGGGTGGAAAGGGAGGTATGAAGGTTCACAGTATAGTGGTCGAGGGTTTGGGTTTACGGTTTAGGGTTGGGGGTGTTGAAGGCTTTGGGCTTGAGGCTTTAGGGTTTACAATACCCAGAGACTCAATATCCCTGAATTACCGAATATATTTTAAACTCTAGTAAAGATCCTACTATAACTTAAGGTCTATTCCCGAACTACAGTCAGGGATATCGGAGTCTCTGGGTATTTCCGAGGCTTCCGGGCCTCGCTGCTTAGAGAACTTCAGAAAAGTCGAACCCGGCCTCGGTCCCGCGCGAGGCGATGGTGGCGTTGATGAGTGCGAGTGGATCAGGTGCCTCTTGAGTTGCTAAGGTACCATAATGGGGATATATAAGGGCTCCTTTATGGGATCTATAAGGGTTTAGGGGTTAAGGAACTTAACTCTAAGATGCGATATTCTTGTCAAGGAACTTACTTTTGAGGCACCATAATGTAGGGCTCCTTTCAGCGTTCAATAAAGGTTTAGGGAGTTAATTAAGAAGTTGCATTTAAGTCACCATAATAAAGAAACCAAAATTATTTACGGAATTTTAATTTAAGTTACCACAAGAAAGAAACCATACTATCTACTATAGTTCCCTATGATGGTAACTTAGATTAAGTTCCTTAACAATAACCCAGATTATGAAGAGGCTTTCAATGGCAAATGGCTCCAAGGTCAGCTTGGACGCATAGGCACACTCACATGTGCAAATTCCGTTAAGGGACTCAGCTGGACTCGCGTGTCACGTATTGTCGCTTTTGGTTAGATTTGAATCGGGTTTTGGGGTCCACTATACCCGCCCAAAAATAGTCTAGGTAATTATTAAGGCCCCTATAGTATGCTCTTGTTTCAACCTCAGTATAAGGACCCCTCTCTTTACGGTTGAGATTCCGCAGTAGAGCTGTCTGCAACTCCCAAAGGTCGTTCCGTGCTTCTTTGGCCCGTCGCCCCCTAAACCTTAAACCCTCAACCCCTAAACCCTCAACCCTAATTCCCTAAACCGTCCTTTGGCCCGTCGCCTCCTCCTGCGCACTGGGCGACGCTGGCGAGCCCTGGACTTCGGGGTTGGGGGTTTTTCTGCTGCGCCCGGGACAAGGTGTCAGTGTCAGGCTCTACTACAGTAATGCGGGGGCCTTTAGGCCTTAATAATTAATAGATTAGGGGTTTCGGGGGTTCCTTGTTATGAGTTTAATATAATTTACCCCACAAACCCTATTCCAATTATTAAGGCCCCTACAGTAGCTTTCGGACAATGCTTGGACCTGCTGGAAGAGGGACCCGAATCCGGGCTCTCTGGCCCTGGACAGAAGAGAGACTTCCACCCTCAGGGATGATTTCGTGGACTGCTCAGCTTGGCTTCCCGGCGAAGAGAAGATCCTTGTGAACCTGCTCCAGCAGACCTTTGTCCATCTTCTCCTGGTTTTCAGAATATCAGGCACCCTAATTCAATCCGAGAAAGGGCAAGACCCTCAAGATAAGGACAACTCACAGTGAACCCCAAACCTCGAAGAAACCAAAAGAATAGGATCTTCAGTCGCAGGCACCCCCGAAGGAGGACCTTGAAAAGAAGAACACCCCAAGTTCCTTGCTAGGCAGACATAAGACTACAAGCCTCTCATACGCTTGCAAACACCTCGTATGCGTGTGTTAGCATGAATAAGAAAGCCTCAAGGGTCCCGGGTTTAGGAGCTTGATGGTTTCGGGCATCAAGGATCTAGGGGTTTGGAGGTTCAAGGGTTTAGGGCACAATCGGGCTAAGGGTTCAGCTGAAGTTGAATGTTTTTCGGTTAAGGATTTAGGATCGTTGGCTGCAGATGCCAATGCCTCCGCCGTGATCTTCTCGGGCGCATCGAGGAGAGACAGCTGCTCTCGTAGCCTTACGTGCAACTCAACACTGGAGACGCTCCGGTGCGGTGCAACCCTTAAAAGGTGGCAGGTGAAAAACAACCTCTCTTCGAACGCTCCCACAGTAGTCCAAATCCGACACCCTAAACCCTAAACCCTACACAGCAAATCCTAAACTGCAGACCCTAAACCCAAAATCCCAAACCCAAATCCTAAACTCCAAACCCTAAACCCAAAATCCCAAAACCCCTAACCCCTGAACCCGAAACCCAAAATCCCAAAACCCTACACCCAAAATCCGAAAAACATGTAAACCTACAGTAACCCTTGTGGGAAACCCGTATAGCAACCCTACAAACCCCTGTAAAGTAACCTTAAACCCCCTGAAACCCCTAAACCCCATCTCAGGGTTCCCGGGCGGGCTCAGCTTCTCGTCAAGATGCTGCTCGAGTCGGCGCTCCAGAGCCTGGTAAATGGGCCAAGAAGGGTTCCCTTAAGGGGTACTCGGAGGATCATGGGACTTAGTAAGTAGGGTTGTGGGCTCCTTTGAAGGGTACTCTATAACAGGGTTCCTTAAAGGCATCTATAAGGGTTCTGGAAGGAGGATCATGGGACTTAGTAAGTAGGGTTATAAGTACCTTAGTTGGGGTTATAAGTAACTATAACTGTAGTTACTTTTCTTAACTCTACTTACTAAGTCCCATGATCCTTTAAGTACCGTTCGTGTAAAGAGGGGTACCGTTCCTGTAAAGAGTAGTGGTCCTTTAAGGGTTCCTTTGAGGGCTCCTTTAAAGTTTTAGAGGGTGTAAGAAAGGCTGGCAATGAGGTTTTAGGGTTCAGGGTTTAGGGCAATATGGGCGACTGTAAGGCTCGTCTCAAGTAAACACATGTATCATGTCTGCTGCATAAGCGGGGCATCCCAAAACACCCTCCGCGTAGGATCCTGAACATTGCCTGAGACAGGGTACACTTCATACTGAGACACCCCAACATGGAAGTGCGACTCCCTCTGGCCTACACCTATCGGGGAGTGCCAGAGGGGACCCTTGCAAAAGGGTACCTTTGTCCTAGGCATACCAAGACTTGTAGGGTTGGGAGTTCAGGGTATATTGTTTAGGGTTTAGGGCTGAAGAGCGATGCTTTAGACCTTTACCAAAGTACCCCGCAGCTCATAAACAGGGCCCCCTTTTTTGATCCAGCGCATGACTGACTGATGCTGTTCTTGTCCACGGCTGCCGGGCCTCGCGGGCAGGAATGCTCACAACGTGGCAGGCAAGGCAAATGTGCACAATGTCTGGAGCAAAAACCAGTGATGCGGCTCTGAGCTTTTTGTGTGGAACGCCCCGGCAGTGCCTCCCTCGGCTGTGTGGATTCTCTGATGAGAGACCTGTGCAACGTGCTGATTGGCCTAAAGGTGCCTGGCAAAGAGAGTCCACACTCTATGGTGGCAAAATCTCACTGTCAAACTGCCATGGGCAGTCTTCGCCGGTCCTTTGTTTGTGGATTGACCAGGCATACACCAAGACATGCTTGAGGGCCTCGTTGCACTCTGCAGCAGAAGAGAACTGTACATTTAAATTTAAAGCCGGTGATGCGGCCCATTTGAGCTTCCAGCGATGATGCCATTCCCGCTCTTTCGAGATGGTGCACTCCGGAGGCAGGAGTCTCTTTGCCTCTGGCTGGCTCATGCCCTCCTGAGCAAAAACCACCGCTTTGCGGCGCTGCGTGGGAGCGTCCTCAGGTTGTGGTGGCCTGGGTACAGGAGCTTTGGTCAACGGATGTTATCTTCAGATTTGTAAACCCCCTGCAGTTCAGAAGCTCCAGCGCTGGAAATCAATTCACTATTTACAAACTTCGAAGCCCCTTCAATTAGGAAACCCCGGTGGAGGACCTGGTTGAAAGGTTACATGGGCCGACCCCCATTAGGGGTCAGGTCAGGGTTCAATGCCTCAACTTGACCGAGCAACCTTGGTGGAGACTGAGAGGCCGCAGCGAGCTTTGCAAGGGCAGCCTCGCGACGCCTCTTTTTCGCATAAACGACCTCCTGCAGCTCCAAGTCCTCCCAGTCAAAATATTCCTCGTCCGCCAAAGCCTCCTCGACACGGTTGAGAGTAGTGGAGGGCTTGGCCAGGTCCTGTGGCTGCATCTGCAAGCCCTACTTGGCCCCCGAGCCGGAACAATGCCATTCTCATGGCATAGCTGACACTTTTGAAACATCAATAGAAAACTACAAATAAATGCGGAAACCCACTCTGGGCCTCATGAAGCTTCAACCTCCTTGAAAAGATCTCACGGAACTTGTCTTCGGTGAATGCGTCCCCCAACGCATGACGGGCCAGAGTTCGCATTAGATTGATCTCAGTCGCTGGTTGAGGGACCCGCAGCGAGAGATGAGAGACCAGTTTGCGCAGGTAGTACACGGTCATCTGCGGGCACCCATGCTGAATTGAGAACCTCACAGTAACAAAGTCACACCAACATGTCAAGCCAAAACCCTACGCGATGAACCAACCCACACCTGAAAACAACAGTTAAACCCTACATGTTAGGCCCCTAACTCCAAACCCGAAGCCCAAAGCCCCCTAAACCAGAAACCTTCACAGCAGCCTCTACTAAACCTTCAACTTAGGTGGGGGGGTTTCTAATAGACAATAGAAGCCTATTTCTCGTATTAAAGGGTACTCTTATCCCTACTGTTTCTCGTGGTCGTAGTTTAGTTTTGGACCTTCCTTAGGGTGTTTTGGGGTGGATTTCCTGGAACGTACGTTTGATGTTGAGAGCGGGGAAAGGTAATTTAATATTAGGAGTGCAGATTAAGGTGGTACTGTTAACAAGTTCTGAAATCAGAAGCCATGAAACTTCAGCAAATGGCCTTTCTGAGAACCATCCTTGAACTGAACTGTCTGGCCAGATTGACTCGGAGGGACAATCTGGACGTCCGAGCACCGCCACTGAGTGTAATCCAGGATCTTATCAAACCAGACCTGTTCTTCAAATCATGCAAAATGAGCGCATCTAACATATACTAAACCAACTGCCGCTCCCTCCCCCGCGTGTTTTAAGTCCAGACCCACCACAAACCAGGTTGGGGTCGATAGCATTAATTACAGGGTTTTGGGTTTAGGATATAGGGCTTAGGTTTCAAAGCCATCCCCCGGGCCAAATTCCAGAATTTGGTGAGAAGGAAACGCAAGTGCCAGATACATAAATGCTGCTTTGTGGCAGGGCTGTCCCCAAAGTCTTGCAGATTCAACTTGCGCTTCTTCTTCTCGCCCTCGAATACACAGGTGAGCGCCAGATATCCATGGCAGCTGGTGTAGAGGACCAGGCCACGCTTCTTGTGGTCAGAGACCAAACCTCACTGAAACATGGGAACCGCTGGGCATGAAACAAGAAAACCTGATCAGAGGCACTCCAGCTGCCCGAAAAAAACAAGTTTGCTCAAACAAACATCTCAGAAGCTGCCTGGCACCAACAACAGTGATAGCCATGCCTTGCTCATGTCAGCGAAATTCCCGCCACAGGATGTCATGTTCAGAGTGGCCAAGGCTGTCTCTTTGTGGTACTTGGCATTGTGGTTGGGCCATGTTGGACGGGATGATGTGAGGGACTCAATCTGGGGCTGCTCCAATGTCAGCAACTCCTCACAGGGATGGATTGTCTTAGTTACATGATTACATACGATACAGAGGCTGTCACAAATCAACATTACGTGCAACAAGTACGTTTGGACTGATCCTGCCTTGGATGGCTCAAAAAATTTGGCCGGCAGCTTCTTCGTGGTGTGAGTTGATGAAGGAACAGGCCCAGGGAGAGGCCGGTCAAAGTCTTTGATGGTGTTGGTCGCCAAAGCCTTATTCATCCAATACAGGGTCCGGTCGCTTTTGGCTTCTACACTGGAACGGTATGTAAACACACAAGCTCTACTGTCGGCTGCGTAACTGTTGCATGCCAAACACCACGTTGTTCCAGCCGACCCCTGTCGCTCGATTTGGCTGCCCTGCGAGCATCATTGAAAAGATTCTCGAGCATCAATGTGCAGTGATGGGCCTGTGAATACTTTGTCAGGTCGACCTCGAGCAAGGGTGGCACCTCCCGAAAACCAGTTTCAGCCAGGAAGCTGAAATTCTCCCTGACCCAAACCTGGTTCGGCCACTCCATGTCTGTCAAAAGTCGACGGACTTTGCCATAGTCGGGCGAGTCAGCAGGTGTGCTTTCCAGGCGTTCCACGGCCGTGAACATGTCCTTGTGCTCAGAGAGACCCTGGGCTCTGGCAGGAGCGTCCTTCGATATCAACTTGAGGAAGCTGCGTGGTGGCATCCAGTAATTAGCCTGTGTCACAGACAAGAAGCCAGCAAGAGAGACAGCAAAGACATATAACGTTGTTAATGTCTCCCCATTGACAAAGCCGTCTTCCAGGCCCAATTCCCGCACAAAGTCATTGGACACCAAGGCAGAGAAGCATGCGGTGATGGCCGGAATCAGGCCACCCAGCACAAGCTCTTCCATGAAATGTGCAGTGCCCCTTCGCCTTCAAACGGAGGGGGCTGGGCTCAACAAGCAACCCTCTGTGGACCATGCCTGTGAAACCCTGAACCCTGACACCCAGCTTAGTGATAAGGATACACTTTTTTTTTTGGTTCTGGGGGTTGTTTTCTATTCGGGTCACGGATTATGTTGTGACGAGCTTCGTTTTGACCTTGGCCATCGCCCCAAGAAACATGTGCTCCAGCTTGCGAGTCACCAGCTCCATCCCGTCCATGAAATTCATAGTTTCGCGAGAGGCCAGGACCCACGCCACATGCCTGAGCGGCCAAATTCCATGTTAATGTTGACTTCAGATTGATAGACGCCCTGTGGAGTAGCCCCAGCCCCACAAATTTGACTTCAGATTCATAAACCCCCTCTCACTTAAGCAACCCCAGCCCCACAACTCCATTAGTAACCCCCTCTACCTGAACTAAGAAACCCCGGTGGAGGGCCCGGTTGAGAGATCAATATAGGATCCTATTCAAAACAACAGGACACCCCAAGGGCAGCATTGAATCAAGGGCAGGAAATGGAAATTACAGGCTTTCCCTGATGCCCGACCCAAAAGTTCGCTGGGTCAGCAGCTGAGGGGCCGGAATTGGCTGCCTGCATCTGCTTTGCGCTTCCGGAGCTCTGCCCGAGCCGAGCTTGTGCTCATCTTGCGCTTTTTCGTGTCTGGCTCGACATCTTCCGCTGCCTCGGGTGCAGCCTCAGGACCAGCAGCAGCAGAGGCTGCCGGTGGGTCTGTGGGAGCGGCCCCGGATTCCTCTGGATTGGCCTTGAGCAGTGGTGTCTCGTCCCATGTTTTCCAGTAGCCCCTCTGGAAGCCCAGATACAACAAAAGTATGAGGTTGGCCGTTCGCATTGGGCGCTGGTGACGGGAGAGGCCTTCCAGTGCCCACCACCGGCCACGCTTTGGAGCATCGCCAAGGGAAG